TGTTGTCTAAGGCTGACAAGAGCGCCTCGGGGAATTGCTGCGGTTTGGAACTTTCACAACCAGACCGGCGAGGTGTTATGGGGTTGTTAGCGCTTGCTCAGAGGCCTTCTGGATCGCCACGAGAGTCGTTTCGTCGCCTCTGGCCTGCTCCACTATGGTGTTGCTCGCCACCCTCTGGCCAACACAAGGCTTGCACTTGTCTTTGCCACTATTGCTGTTTCGAGTTGGGCCTCAGGGAACTCAGGGATATCAGCGAGTTGCACTGACACACCCAAGCCGCCCCATTTCGGAGCGGCCGTATTGAAGCGCTTCCCGTGCGTCGGTTTTGTCTGCAGCTCCGCATCGGCTTGAAGTCCTGTCTTTTAAATGACACGCTGAACGCGCTTCGACAGGAACTGCTGCTCGAGCTGCTTGAACTTCGCGTCCAGGCTGCTTAGCTGCGCGTCAGTTCGGCGCTCGCAATCGGGTACCTCTGCTTGTACTGCATACACTTCGCGGACAAGTCGTCGCATTGCTCGGCCAAGAAGGCGCTCTGATGCCCCGCGATGTCCTGCTGGTTCTTCTGATCATGCGCCTCCGGCTGGTCAGGGGCCTGCTGCGCGCTCGGCTCCGAACTGGATGATTCTGCTCTGGAGATGCCGAAGCACTCCGCCCTTTGAGCGGCCGCCAGCGAGGGGGGGAAGTGAGAAGGGGCGGGCCTTCTCAGAAGGCTCGGAAGTCCCCGTCCTTTTGAGAAGTCTTCTAAGCTTCCCCGAAGATACAAAAAGTATTCAGAAGACCAGAAGGCTTCTGAGAAGTCCCGCCGCCTTCTGAGAAGGCCTTCTCCTTCTCACTTCCCCCCCCTTGCTCGCCGCCGACTTGAGGCATGAAAGCCTCGCCCGAGCCAAAAGACTGAGGCGTCAGATCTCCAGGCAGAACGCGGAACTCCAGCTAATGGAGATCGCCTGCGGCGGCCAGCCCGCCCACGAGGTTGGTCATCGCTTTGCCGGAGCATTCGCTGGTGAGGCGCACCAGAAGTGAGCAGGAGTGAGGTATTCATCCGCTCGACGCCTTCCGCCGCTGCCTTGAAGCTGCAGGCCGATTCTGCTCACTGGTGAAGCCACAGGCGGCCGCGCCGACCTGCGCCTAGCTGCGCAAAGCACTGATTCGCCCAGTCAAGCTGAGTCCGTGCGCAGCTTGGGACAGAGTGGCTTGAGCCAAATGGCCTCACGGTGAGGAGGAGGAGGAGTAGGAGGAGGACAGGTGGAAACCCAAGAGTCATCAATGATGTTGGAATTGACCCTTCCTCCAAGCTCCCTCTTCATAGGCCCCACAACGGTTCATTTCCATTGAGGGGAGGGCCTCGCGGGAAGAGAACAGGTTGAAGATCCTGAAGCGTGGCAAAAAAAATGTTCTCGAGATTTCAACGCCACGCATAAACCTGACTGCTGCGTTTTGACGATCCAGAATCGTGCCAGAACGCCATTTTTGGGACCTCAACACAGCGAATCAACATAATTGTTGTGCCCGCATAATCCTGAACCCTTCCAAAACACCATTTCTGGTACGTTGATCATGGGAATCCGTGAAGTTCTTGCAGATGTTTCACACGAATGTGCGTGGCGCTCAGGCGAGAACCACATGTTGAAAAGGAACCGCCCTCAACCCGTGAAACTCCAGCAAATGTTTCAAACGAATGCGCGCGGCGCTCAGGCCAGAACCACATTTTGAAAAGGAACCGCTTTCAATCCGTGAAACTCTTGCAAATGTTTCAAACGAATGTGCGTGGCGATCCGGCGAGAACCACATTTTCAAAACGACCCGCCCTCAACCCGTGAAACTCTTGCAAATGTTTAAAACGAATGCGCGCGGCGCTAAGGCGAGAGCCACATTTTGAAAACGACCCGGCCTCAGTCCGTGAAATTCTTGCAAATGTTTAGAACGAATATTCGCGGCGCCAAGGCGAGAGCCACATTTTGAGAACGACTCGCCCTCAATCCGTGAAGCTCTTGCAAATGTTTAAAACGAATGTGCGCGGCGCTAAGGCGAGAGCCACATGTTGAAAACCAACCGGCCTCAATCCGTGCAACGATTGCAAATGGTTAAAGCGAATGTGCGCGGCGCTAACGCGAATGTGCGCGGCGCGAGAGCGACCCGCCCTCCATCTGTGAAATTGCTGCCACTTTAAGCTCCAGAGTCATATGTGGTGAGGAAGTCTCAGGCGAAACGCCCGGTCAGCCCTAAAAATTGGCCTCGGAGTGGGACAGGGAGGAGTTATCTATAAGCAGAAGGCATGGAGGAGGAGGAGGAGGAGGAGGACGACGAGGAGGAGGAGGGGGGGTCGCCCGCTCTCTAGCCCTCGTTGCTCAGACTGGCCGCTGGGGCGCTTCCGCGCTCCTCCCCTGACCAGTCGAAGGGGCCCCTGAGCAAGCTCACGTTATCCTGACCTCTGTCGCGCGAGGGAGGGAGACGCTCCGATTCACTCCCCAGCAAACTTCATACTAGTGTCTTTTCGCATGGGACGACTCCGTGGAATCGGCCCCCAGACCCCCCGAGAGGCTCCAGAATTGCGCCGGGACGCGCCAGGGTCCAAAGATACATACCCCCAGCAGGCCCCAAGATGCACCGTACTTGCTGGGCTGTCTTGTCCCCCTGTGACTCACCGAGCGCATTCCACTAGTCGCCAAGTGCCTACTCGCAACCGTCCGAGAGAAAAACAAAAAATGTTACTTCGGTGTAGTGGATTGTGAATCCCCTGCGGCGAATCCAGGCCACCCACTTGCGAGCAGTAATGTCAGCTTGTGATTAACAAAAGGACCCCCCCACGCGGGGCGCGATATTTGTTTTTCAATAACGCGCGCCAGGGGGAAGGAGGAGAGAGGAGGGGTAGGGGGAAGAAGGACGAGAAGGAGAAGGACGAGGAAGAGGAGGAGGAGAGGGAGGAGGAGGAGGAGGAGGAGCAGGAGGAGGAGGAGGAAGGAACTAGAGGAGGAGGAAAAGGAGGAGGAAAAGGAGGAGGAGAGGAACGAGGAGGAGCAGGAAGAGCAGGAGAGGAAGGGAGGAAGAGAGGAAGGAGGAGGAGGAGGAGCAGGAGAAGGAGCAGCCGGTTTCGGTCGCCCCGCCGAAGGGCTAGTCCTTGACGCATGGCTGCTTTCGGCGCCAGGAGGCGCTTGGAAAATCGGCGATGCGAGCTGCTTGGCAAATCCCCCCTTTGCTGCGCCCCACTTTCGTCCAGCCCGCCTTGCAGTAGCTTTTGCGACTATTGGACCGCGTTCGTCCAGTGACGCACTTCAGGCTCGCAAGGCTCTGGGCACCAGCCTCTTGGCCGCGCCTCCCCACGACCGCGCCCCTCCCACTCCGCGTCGCCCTCCGCCGCCGCCCGGCCCGAGCGGGAACTCGGGGCGGCAGCGGCACATCGTGCCACGATGCCGGCTTCTCTTGGCCCGTGCTCGGGGGCGCTCGCGCAGCCCGCCGCGGCGTCCAGCGCCCTCGGGCGGCCACGCCCGCCGCCCCCGCGGGGCGCGCACGAGCGGTGCCCCGGCTGGGGGCGCGCGTGGGGCGGCCGCGCGGCGGCGGCGGCCTTCGCGCTGGCGGCGCGGGCCGCCCAGGCGAGGCCCGGACGGCCGCGGCGGTGGCGCGCAGCGCGGGCGCCGCTGCGCCGCAGGGCCGCGGCGGCGGCGGAGGCGCGGCCGGGCCAGCTGGCCGATCGCATCCGGTGGGCGTCCAGCGCCGCCTCGCTGTTGTGCGTGCTGGACTGCACCGTTCTGCCCGCGCTGATGATAGAGGGGGACGAACAAAGACATAACATAAAAACTCGGAGGTCCCCGCGGGTTTCTTGGATTGGCGCTGGGGGCCCCTGGCGGCGCCTCTGGCGCCGCCCCTGGCGCGCGGAGCGCGCCAGGGAGGGGGGTCCAGCGCGGATCCGAGAAATCCGCGCGGACCTCCGAATTTTTATGTTTATGCAATTTTTCGCTCCCGTGTGATAGCGCTGCCCATCGCCGGGCTAGCGTCGCCGTCGAACCTGGGCGCGCTGCACCGTCTGAGTCACCAGGCGGCGCTGTATTTCGTGCTGCCGATCGGCGGGACGGCCACCGTCTCGAATTTCCTGGTGAGCCGAAACTGGCCCACGCTGCTGATGGGGTTGCTGGCGCTCTCGCTCGTGTACGCGTGCAATGGTCACGGGCTCTCGGGCGTGCTGCCGCCCGCAGTGTGCCACTTTCTGCACTGCGGTCCGGGGCATCGGTGCATGAACTTGTTGGCTTGCGGCCTGCTGACGTGCTCGAACTACATCTCGCACCAGATGGCGCACAGGGCAGGGAGGTGCCATCACCACAGCCACAGCCACCACGGCCACGACCACGGGCAGGCCCACGAGCGTCGTCACGAAGAGGGCTGTTGCTCCAACAAAGATCAACTGATGGCTGGCGGGGTTGAGGCTCTGGCACAGCGGTACGACGCGTTCATGCTTGACCAGTTTGGCGTTATCCATGATGGCAAGAAAGCTTACCCTGGAGCCACTGATGCACTGAAGCAGCTCACAGCAACAGGTAAGCCCATCGTCGTTTTGTCCAACTCCTCAAAACGAAGCTCTTCCACGCGCAGGCGTCTGGAGCAGATGGGTTTCGACACGAGCGGGATCGTTGCATTCGTGACTTCAGGTGATGTTGTCCACAGCGCTCTGTCACAAGTGCGCAGCGGGTCGACAGAGGCAGCAGAGAAAGTCAGTTTATATAGACAGCATTTCCCAGCAGACCTGGGCGCTTGGCCAGGCCACCGCGCAGTCGTGTTCGGTAACGGCGAGGATGACGAGGACTATTGCGGCAGCTGTGGTGTGGTCGCATCAGCCGCGGACGATGCCGATTTTGTGTTGGCGCGCGGGGTCTTTGCACTGCTGGAAGGGGCGCGAAAGACGGGCAAGCCAGACGTGATGTGGCCGCTGTTCATGGAGACGATGAAGCGCTGTGCTGCGCAGGGCCTGCCGATGCTGGTGGCCAATCCCGACCTCGTGAGGCCCGACGGCGATGATTCTCCAATGCCAGGCGCCCTCGCGGAAGAGTACAGGAAGCTCGGCGGCACGGTGCACTACGTCGGGAAGCCGCACCGCCTGGTCTACGAATTGGGCATGGCGGCCCTGCCAGAGGGGATCCTCCGCGCAAAGGTGTGTGGCATCTGGGAGGCCAAAACATTTCGCAAGCGTCAACTTTCCGAGGTTCGCGCGGATGTCTTGGGTCGGCGCTGGACCTCCCTTGGGAGGCAACGACAGAGGGGGGGGGGGGAACGGGGACCGGCACAGGGGGAAAAACAACGACCTGGAATCGGCCATACGTCACCGTGAGATCGGCGACAGGAATTCGCAACAGAACCCGCACGTTCCTGGTGTGGGGCTACCAGACCCCTATCGGCGATCCATGGGCGATTGGGGATCGATGCATTCCCCCCTGAGCTTACCCCCCGCTACCGTTACCCCCACGCTCAGCCCCCGGTCGGGTGTTGCTAGAAGCGCCCCTAGCCCGAGGTGTCCCCAGAATTCTCGAGGAGGTATCCCGTGGCCTCCAGAGCACCCCTCGCGAGGCCCAGGGGGCCCCGGGGGCTCCAAACTGGAGCGACAAATTGGGGGCACCTTGGGCCAGGGGTACCTGTAGCAACCCCCGATCGTGGGCGAGGAACGTGGTCGTGCCCGCGGCCTCATGTCCCGAACTCCTCGTCCTCCTCCTCCACCTCCTCTTCCTCCTCCACATCCTCCTCGTGCAGTGGTCGTCGTCCTCCTCCTCCTCCTCCTCCTCCTCCTCCTCCTCCTCCTCCTCCTCCTCCTCCTCCTTCTCCTCCTCCTCCTCCTCCTCCTCCTCCTCCTCCACATCCTCCTCCTCCTCCTCCTCCTCCTCCCCCTCCCCCTCCTCCTCCCTCTCCTCCTCCTCCTCCTCCTACCTCCTCCTCCTCCTCCTCCTCCTCCTCCTCCTCCTCCTCCTCCTCCCCCTCCTCCTCCTCCTCCTCCCCCTCCCCCCTCCTCCTCCTCCTCCTCCCCCTCCTCGGCCGCGGCCCCGCGGGCACGAGAGGGGCGGCGCTCGGCGCGGGCGCGCCCCGCGAGAGAGGAGCGCCCCCGCGTGCCCGGCGGGGCGCTCTCGCCTCGGGGTGCAGACCGCAACGGGCGTGCCGCTCCCAGCACGAAGTCGGGCATGCCCCTCTACAGGAGGAGGAGTCAAAAATAGTCATTAAAAAATGGTATGAAACGATTTTCTGATTATGTTCGACAAAGTCTCGGCGGTGTCGATTCCTTTTCTCCAAATGTAGGCTTGCCCTATAGGAGTGCCAACTCAAACCCTACTAATTGGTCCGTTGCCCCCCCCTAATTCCTATGCCCCCCCTAATTCCTATGGCTATGCCTATGCCCTATGCCTATGCCTATGCCTCCCCCCTAACTCTTACGCCTACGCCTAGCTTGTTTGCTCTTGCGTGCTTGCTCTCGCTTGCTTGCTCTTGCTTTCCCTTGCTTTCCCTTGCTTGCTTGCACTTGATCGCTGGCTCTCGCTTGCTTGTTATTGCTCGCTTGCGCTTGCTGCGCTTGCTTGATTTTGCTCCTCCCGTCCTGCTCCTGTCCTCCTTTTGTCCTCCTCCCATCCTCCTCTCGTCCTCCTCCTGTCCTCCTATCTATTTGGAGCCAGCGCTGGCTGGTATTGTTTGTCGTCCGAAATCCGCCTGTAGGAGGACACGCCCGTCCTAATTCCAGCAGCCTCCGACCGGGCGCCGCTCTGGCCCACCGCCCCGCGCGCTCCGCGCGCCCGCGCCGCAGCGGGGGCGTCGAAGAAGAAAATTCGACGACAACAACAACAACAACAACAACAACAACAACAACAATCATTTTACCCGAACGCGTGGTGTTCTCCCCAGTGCCAGGGTTTTCATACGACACCAGGCAATACCCCCACTTCGTGGGGGGGCATTACAAGCTCTACCAAATATCCAAACGACTCTTCGCGACCACCCAAACCCAGCTTCCCGCCCTATGACGTTGGGACACTTCACTTCGTGGCGTGCGGACGACCGTGGCTACTACACTGGCGTGGGGTACACACCCACAGAACTTGGTCACTTATTCGGGGCGCGCATGTGCCCAGCATGGTGCAATTGTGCCATGCTGGGCACATGCGCGGATGGTATTATTTGACAGGGATGATGGCCCTGGCAGGTGCGCAACCGTTGTCGCAGAAGTTCGAAAAAGTTGCTCGCAAAAGCCCGTTTGACAGAAATGTTTAAAAAGTGTTGGTTTTCCTACGAATCCGCAAGAGCGCGCGGGATGAGATTTTGACATTTTTTTGTTGAAAAACCATTGGTTTTTTGATGTTTTTATGTTAAAATCGCTCCGAACACTAAGCTTTTGGAAGGATTTCGTCTTGCGCGCGCGAATGTCCACTTTACCTTATTTTTTGCAAGGGATTCTTGAAATTTGATTATATTAGAACAAGAAATGTCATTTTATAGTGTTTTTTGCAAGGGAAAGCGGATTACAACAAAACAACCGGATCTTGATCACTCGAATTACCTGAGGCTTCCTCACGAAAATGATGAAAATGTAGCTGCGGCCTAGGCGCGGCGGGGGGGGCGCGCACCAGGGGGCCCAACAATAATTATTCTTTAGAATTAATAATGTTCAATTACTAGCACGTGGGGACACTCCGTTCTCACCAGTGCCAGGGTTTTCATAGGAGGCGGGCAATACCCCCACTTTGTGGGGGGGCCGGTTCAAGCTCTACCAAATTTCCAAACGACTCTTCGCCACCACCCACACCCAGCTTCCCGCCCTATGACGTTCGGACACTTCACTTCGTGGCATGCGGACGACCGTGGCTACTATTCAGGGCCCCGCGGCCGACGACGACGGCGTGCGCGCGCGAAGAAAAAACGAATGTGTCCCGCATGGTATTATTTGACAGGGATGATGGCCCTGGCAGGTGCGCAACCGTTGTCGCAGAAGTTCGAAAAAGTTGCTCGCAAAAGCCCGTTTGACAGAAATGTTTAAAAAGTGTTGGGTTTCCTACGAATCCGCAAGAGCGCGCGGGATGAGATTTTGACAATTTTTTGTTGAAAAACCATTGGTTTTTTGATGTTTTTATGTTAAAATCGCTGCGAACACTAAGGTTTTGGAAGGATTTCGTCTTGCGCGCGCGAATGTCCACTTTACCTTATTTTTTGCAAGGGATTCTTGAAATTTGATTATATTAGAACAAGAAATGTCATTTTCTATTGTTTTTTGCAAGGGAAAGCGGATTACAACAAAACAACCGGATCCTGTACACACCCTCTTTTCTGAGGCTTCCTCACGAAAATGATGAAAATGTAGCTGCGGCCTAGGCGGCGCAGGGGGGGCGCGCACCAGGGGGCCCAACAATAATTATTCTTTCGAATAAATAATGTTCAACAACAACAACAACAAACAAACAAACAAACAAACGCCATACCATGGTGCCATCGGCGTCGCTTGGACGCACACCGCCTCGACTCCTCGGCGAGGCCAGCGCCAGGACATCGGGACTGCCCAGGAGCATCTCGCGAGCAGGAGGGCGACTGCAGGATCGCTGCACCCCGAAATCGGCGTTCCGTCGAATCCCCCCCCAAAAAAAAAACACGTAGAATGGTCGCAGAGCTGCTGTTATTGAATCGCTTCGCTCATTCCGCCGGCCCGTGATATGGCATCGCTGGTTTTTGTCTGTGTGTTCGTTGCCCATGTTGCGCTCTTGGGGGCGGGTGTCGTTCGGACGCGTTGCGTGGGGAGTTTTGATGGTGAAGCAGTTCCCTGGGGGTCGTCTCTCGATGGGGCGAAATAGAGTCGTCGTCAAGATGCTTCTTTGGGGGGCCTCTTGGGGTCTGTTGAGAGGCCGTTCGGGGGCGCCTGGGAGACATGTTTGAAGCCTTCTGGGGCTTCTTTTGGGCCTCCTGGGAGTCTCCTGGGGCCTCTTGGCGACATCTTGGGGCCTCTTGGAGGCCTCTTGGGGCCTCTTTGGGACCTCCTGGGCGCCTTCTGGGACGGAGGGCTCCATTTTTGAGTTCTCGGTATCCCTCCTGAGTCCCTCTTGGGCCCGTCTTGGGGCCTCTTGGTCCGTCTTGGGCGGCACTTGGGCCGTCTTGAGGGCTCTCTTGGGTCGTTTCGGCGCCGTCTTGGGAGCTTCGTGGGCCGTCTTGGAGCGGTCTTGGGGGCCTCGTGGGCCGTCTTGGAGCGTCCGGAAGCCGAAAAAGCCAAAACACAAAAAACATCAAAAAACCAATGAAAATCAACGATTTTGGCCTCTTGGGGCTCTCTTCGGAGGCCTCTTGGAAGGCTCTTGGGGCGTCTTGGAGGCCTCTTGGACACGTAGAATGGTCGCAGAGCTGTTGTTATTCTGCGTATGTTTTGTGGATTCGGCGAAGCAGGTTCTGGGGTAAATGAATTCTGCAGTCGGTCTCCTGCTCGAATGTCGGATCATCCATCGAAGACCAAAGAACACGAAACTGAAAAATACACCGGGGATACAGGGGATGGGCGTCCGAGCGACGGCAAGTGAAGTGCTTTTGGCCCTCCGCCGTCGGGGACGTCATGTACACCGACGTCCTGGGCGCCCGGGACGCGGTGGGACGACGACGACAACGGCCACGACGACGACCACGACTACGACCAAGACCACGACCACGACCAAGACCACGACGACGACGACGACGACGACGACCACGACGACGACGACGACGACGACGACGACGACGACGACCACGACGACGACCACGACGACCATGACACGGCGACGGCGACGGCGAGGGCCTCGCGTCCGCGCTGGTGGCCGGCGGCGTCCACCACGCCGAGCTCGGCGTCGCCGAGGCCTCGCGGGCGCTGGCCGACGGCGGGCGCGGCCTGCCCGAGAGCGCTGCGGTGGAGGCCCGGCGCCGCGCGCGGGAGCGGCTTCATTCGATTGGGTTCGATTCGGTTCGGTTCGGTTCGATTTCATCGTCATTCGATTCGATTCGGCTCGGTTCGATTCCTCAGATGCGATCCGGTCCGACTTTGATGGCTCCCGATGCCGATTCGATGCGACTTCGGGCTCCGATTCGGATTCCGATGCCTCACTGGGGGCCTCATCGGCCCCCCGACCTCCGCCGAGCCGGTCCCTCTTCTCGATCGCCGATCCGACTCTGCGAGTCGATCCTGGGCTCCCCTGCGGGAGCGGCCCCGCAGGCAGGAGAGGCCTCTCGATGCGCGGCGTGCCGATCATCGAGGAGCGAAGGTCGGGGGCTGCCAGAGGGGCTCCGTTGGACAAGGCTGGCTTCGCTGGGCCTGAGGCCCCCCCCCCCCCGAGCTCGACCTGGGGCCCTCCAGCTCGACCTGAGGCGCCCCAGCAGCCGTCGAGACCACCCACCTTAAAGCCAGATCTGTTCGCCGCTCCCGAGAAGAAGGGCATGAGCAGAAGTTCAAGGGCATAAAAAACGCCCCTACCCTGGTTTACGAGGCGCTGTGCGCTGAAACTCCTGTGGGCTGACAGGGTAAAACCTGCGTGATGTGCCGCGTCCTGGCGGCTCTAGGCTCTGGGGGCTCCCATGAGGTTTACAGACCACGCACTTGTAACCCAGGGTAGGGTCGTTTTTTCATCCCTCAAGAAGTAGACTTGCGGAGCAAGGAACCCAGTCGTGCTAGCATCCGGAACAAGTCAGGACGGGGGGTTTTGGTCGTTTTGGGCCTCTGGGAGCCCTGCCGGGCCCTGGGACTGTCAAAAAAACAAAACGCCTCAGGATGAAAAACCGGTCCCGGGGAAAGGGGCGGGCGGGTTTTTCGGGGACCCCGCATTGAAAAAGATGGCGTCCCATGTCTGGGAAGGACTCCGCGCGGATTTCTTGGATCGGCGCTGGCCCCCCCTGGAGGCGCCGCCCCTGGCGCGCCGATCCAAGAAATCGCGTGGAGCTCCGCAAGGCTATGTCTGTGCCGTGCGTGTTTTTGCTCCTCGATGATCGTCGCGTGCAGAGTCGCGCGCGGTGAAGCAGCAGCGGCCTGCGTGTTCGGGGGCGCGGCTCAGGGCAGGGCGAGCTGAAGCAGCGGGAGTTGGCCTTCGGGTGGCCCGTGGCCCCCTCCTCGCCGCGGCTGGACGCAGCTCCCCAGAGATCCAACGCATTGGAAAAATCAAGGCGGATGTTTTTCGCAAATTTGGGCCCCTAGGGGCCCTCGCCGGGCCTCGGGACCGTCAAAAAACGATTCCGGGTAAAAAAAAACGATCCTGAAAGACAAGTCGAGGCTTCCGGGGACCCCGCATTCAAAAAGTCACGACGTCGTATCTCTGGGTCGGGAAGCTGGTGCGCTTGGACCCCGGGAGGGGTCCGGGAATCGAGAGTCCGACCTGCCGGTGCCTCCGCTCGCCCTGCTCCGAGGGGCCCCCCCGCGCCCCCCGCAGAGCCGCACGCCGGGAGGCCACTCCAGCGCAGAGGGTCGGCCCCCTGCGCCCATCGGAGGCGACGATAGGGGCGAACAGCCCAGGGGAGAGCAATGCCTGTGATCGGGTGCGCCGATGATCTATGTCGTCGAAAAGGCTCCCGGGCGAATACTCCCGGGACAACACGTATCCGTATCTTTCCGCCCCCCAAAATTCTTGTGATGCCCGCCCATGGGCTATTCGCCCCTACCGTCGCCGCCGAGCCCAGCCGAGAGAGTCGGGAAAACGTGAGATTCGAGCAAGCCGGAACTCGGGTTCGCCAACGTTTTTGACGAGCGCGTCCTGGATTTTGACGGTCCGGTTTCTGTGGGATGTTTGCAGCAGGAGCTCGCGTCAAGTATCAGATTGGGTCTCCTCCTTTTCAATGATAGCCGCGTCAGGCCAACCCGAGCCCCCTCCTGTACCCGAGTCTGACGTCTCCCCTGCGAGAGGCCTTCCTGTCCCGGTACGAGTACCGCCCAGACCACCTGCTCGGCAGGTTCGTCTGGTGAGCTCCACGGCCGCACGCGGCGGCCCGCGGCGCCCAGCACGCCGACCTCGCCGACGCCGACGCCGACGCCGACGCCGACGACGCCGACGACTCCGACGACGCCGACGACGGCGACGACGACGACGACGCCGACGGCGACGCCGACGGCGACGCCGACGGCGGCGAGGGCGAGGGCCTCGCGTCCACGGCCTCGGCCGCCGCCGACGCCCGAGGGCGAGCGGCGGGCGCGGCCTGCGCATGCGCGGGTCGCGGCGGAGGCCCGCCTGCCCCAGCAGTAAGTCGGGCATGTGCTTCTACAGGGGGAGCACTCAAGAGTAGTCAAGCAAATCGTCTGGGACGATTGTTCGATTCTTGTTTCGACTATGTGTTGCGCATTTTTCGACTACTGTTCGTTTCTCTTTCAAAATTTGCTGACTATGTTTTGATTATGTTTTGATTTCGTCTGACTACTTTTCGTTTTTCCTACAAAATCCGTCTGCAGGAGGACATGCCCGACCTAACGCCTGCCCCCTGCACGAGCGCGGCACGAGCGCCGGGGGCTAGGTCCCCGGAGCTGGGCAGCCGCGGCGCGGGGGGCCAGGAGGGGCTTGCCCCAATCCCAGACCCCCTTGGCGTTGTGACAAAAATCTCCTCCTCCTCCTCCTCCTCCTCCTCCTCCTCCTCCTCCTCCTCCTGCTCCTCGCGGGAAGTCTTTCGCTATGTTCGGCTTCCAGGGACCCTTGCCGGGCCTCGGGGCTGTCAAACAACGGCTCGGGATGAGAAGCCGGTCCTGGGGAAGGGGTCCAGGCCTCTGGGGTCGACGTTGTGAAACAATCACGACGGGCAGTTTTTCGCTATTTTCGGCTTCCAGGCACCCTTACCGGGCCTCGGGACCGTCAAACAACGGGGAAGGGGTCCGGACCTCTGGGGTCGGGGTCGTGAAACAATCACGACGTCGGGGGTCTGGGATTCTCGATGGGACGTACGAGTGGCCTCTCGCTGGAGCGGCCTCTGGCACGGGCCCAGTAGGGTCCTTCCATCGCCGAGCGCGATGCGAGAGCAGCGCCCTACGCGCTCGGGGCTGGCCCTCCCGCGCCCCCCCCCCCCCCGAGCGCCGCGCACCCCAGGGTCACTCCTGCCTGGGGGCGCTCTTGCGCGCAGCCGGCTTGCCCCAGTTCGAGGGAGGAGAGTTTTCGGGGGTGGACAGACCTCCTACCCTGACACGTCGATTAGTGAATTGTCCGTTTTCGGTTCTCGAGAGGGCGCCGCGGCCGTCATTTTCCAGGCTTGCGCCCGCCAGGTTTGGGCCCGAGGTCGTTTTTATTAAACCACGTTCTACTAAAGGGAGGTCTGTCCATCCCCGAAGAGTATGCATGAGCATGAGCTGTCAGAGCTCCGCGCAGATTTCCTGGAGCGGCGCTGGGGCCCCCCTGGCGCCGCCCCTGGCGCGCTGCGCGCGCCGGGGGAAGGGGGGGGTCGAGCGCGGGTCCAAGACATCCGCGCGGACCTCCGAATGTTTGTGCGTATGCCGCGTCTTCTTCGTCGAGGGAGGGACTCTCCCCAATGCGGGTTGCCCGCCGCGATGCCAGTTTCTCTCCGCCCGATTTCTCCTGCCCTTCCAGCCGACAGTCGTTGCTGCGGGGTGTCGCCCAAGCTGGCGCTCTGCAGTCGAGGGCAACGCGGGCTCGGAGGGACAAGCAGTTGCAGCGCCGTGCAGATCGAGCCCTGGCACCCAGGGGAGAAAGATCTCGGGGTGGGAAGGCCGAGCGGTCATTCATTGTCCCTGGGTGCGTGGCTGAAGTGGAGTTTCTCGGCGCGGCTTCTGATTGCTTGTTTGTTTGTTGTCGTCGTGTACCTTTTCCTGCAAGCTCTTCGGCACCGCCCGCACCCCGCGCCCTCCGGCCGCCTGAGGCCCCGCCCGCCCGCGCCCTCTCTCCCCAATTAGTGCTTTGCGCGCCCCGCCTAGCTCTTAACCGGAAGAGGCCCGCTCTCGACCCGCAGACCAAAAAAGTTTGTTGTCGTCGTCCCACCCGCGACCCGCCCACACTGCTCTGACGAACATGTCGGCGCCTGCGGCGGGCTCGGCGGGCAATCTGTGTCACAAAAACTCGGCGCCCGCGGCGGGCTCTCTCCCGAGCCTCTCGGGCTGCCGACGACCCTGCCGCCCCCTCGCTCTTCTTCCCCGGCTGCGGGGGCGGTACACCGTGCTTGCCCCTTCTGGCTCGAGCTGTCTCGGCTCAAGAGCTTCTCCGGCTCCAGCTCCGAGCTGCTCTCTCGCGGGGTGGCTGGCCTGGGTCCTCGCGCTCGTGCGCGCGACAGGCGATGGCATCCGGGCTCGCGCGAGCCCTCCCCCCCCTCTCCCACCCAGGGCACCCCGTGGGAGGGGGGCCGGGGGCCGGCACGTTCGGCCTTGCCGCCGGGCACTACACGTGGTCCTGCACAAGGTCGGAGTCTGGAAGCTACGCGGACGGCTCCACGAAGATCCTCGTGTATCCGCTGACTGTTTCCGCTGTCCTCTCGTCGCCCCTCTTCTCCCTTCCGTTTGCGCAATTTAGGCCGTAGCTTGATTGTTACGACTGTCGGACGGCGTTCGGCACTTCCGATGCGCTCGCGATCAACAAAGTATCCGCTGACTGACTCGTCTGGTGAGTCGCTCGAAGCCGTCGAGTCGGCCGCCGAAACGGCGTGGGCGACCTCGACTGCGAAGTCTTCCTCTGAGGAGTTGGAGACGGGCAGTCCGTACACGCTGGGCTTTGATGAGGAGATTTGGACCACCCACTTTATCCTTCACGTTGACACAGCTGGTGCTTACGCCGTCTTCTTCGAGCACAGTCCCTACGAATTCGAGAATGGCTTCCATCATCTAAGATCGGAGGGCGGCGAGGATGTAGAACCCGCTTTCGAGGAAGAGGACGGCAATCATTCGCACGAAGAGCATGAGGAGCACTACCAGTGGGACTTGTAGTGGGAGTGGTCGGCTATCTTCCCTGTGGAGCAGGGTTGGTACGACTGGAACGCGGAGAAGGTCGATGGGTACTACGCCGACGCGCACATAAAGATTGTGATCATAGCGACTAACGAGACGGACCTTCACGACCTGGAGACACAGGCCGACGCCTAATTATTGGGACGCGATTACAAATTCCGACGAGGTGGACGTTGGGGAGACGATCCCGCTCAATGTTGGCACCACACTGCACTTCAGCAAGGAGACGTGGGCGTCGCATTTCAAGATATACGTGCTGGCGGGCACGTCCCACATCGCGGTGTTCGCGAAGCACTTCCCGACAGATTTCGAAGGCGCGTACCATTACCTCCTGTCCGCCAACGGCGAGGACATCGAGCCCGTGGCCGAGGAGTCGGACGCGGCATGCGAGAGCGCCAGCGAGAGCACCAGCACCGACGACTCAAAGATCTGGGGCGAGGTGATCCTGGCCGCGTTCGTCACCGTGCTCCCGACACTGATCGGCATTGTGCTCGTCGTGATGACGTGCATGCCCACGCTGAAAGCCATGATGGCGGGCGAGGGTGGCATCGTCGCGGTCGTTCATTCATTCGCCTCTGGCGTGATCTTTGCGGCCGCGGCGTACCTTCTGCTGCCAGAGGGCCTGTACCTCATCACCGTCGGGAAGAGAGAGGCGGGCGGATCCGGGATGTGGGGCGCCTCCGTCTTGGCAGGCTGGTGCTCCGCCGCTGTGATCAAGCAGTGGTGCCAGCTCGTGACTGGAGAAAGGTCGAGCCTCACCCTGCCGACTGTCAACGGGGAGGTGGACGAGGAGCCACAGAAGAGCAGGGCCACCAACTGGCTGGTCTCCTTCCCCATCCTGTTCGGAGACATGTTCCACAACTTCTCGGACGGTCTGGTCCTTGGGGTCTCCTGCAAGACGTGTGGCGCGCCCTTCGGGCGGAAGATCGCGTGGGTCACAGTCCGGCACGAATTTCCTCAGGAGCTCTCCGATTTTGCCGTCCTGATCACGAAGAGGAGGATGGCCTGGCCTATGGCTCTTACCCTGTTCGGGGCCATCATCACTTACTCCAGCGACGTCAGCTCCGGGGTGGAGGGAGCGACCCTCGCCGCGGGCGCCGAAGTCTACTTGCACGTGGCCATGACGCAGCTCGGCCCCGCGGTGGGAGATCTGATGGGAGACGGCGCCTTCGGCTCCGTCGCGCGGTTCCTCAACTTCGCGGTGGGCGCCACGCTGATCGGTCTAGTCCTGGACCAAGAGCACTGCTACGCCCCGGTCGCGGAGGGCGGGGAGGGCGAGGCGGCGTCGGACGGCCACGCACACGGCCACTAGCCACCAGTGCAGGTGGGACACGGCGACGCCTCCGCACGAGGGAGTGGCGAGGATGGTTTTGGCGCGGGGGAGGTACAGAGCCCGACCCCGAACTCTTTTTGCGGGGCGGGGGCCGGTGGCACCTGGAGCCGCGTCCAGCAGCACCGCCAGAACGCCGTGGCGCTGGTGTTTCGCTGTTTTTGTCCATCTCGCGCTCAGGCGCATTGAGCGGCTGATGCCCGGGCGATCTCCGAGCGACGCTGCGCACGAGGGGTGAGTAGTTAGAGTGGTGATGACCGTTAGCGTTTCTGTTGACACATGAAGATTCCAGCATTGCGTTGCAGAATGCAGAGGTTGAGTGTTGTGGACAGTGGATGCTTATCACAGGCTTTGTTGCACATCAGAGGAGGTGCTTTAATTTCAGATGTCATGTCTGCCGTCGGTGCATGTGCGGACGTAGACGCCTTTAGCACAGGGAGTGCTAGCCAGCCTTTTAAATGTCAGTTACGTGCGCAATGCTCGCACACTGTTTGTTTTGTGTTGTGCCTCAACTGCGGGGTGCTACGTACGTGAAAACATATTGATACGATCCATGCATTCGTAAATCCACCTCCAGATCTCCATAGACCACTATCTCCACATCCCCCGTCATCCCTCCCCTGTTCATCTCGGCGCACAACGCGATGGGCCCCTTTGAGGGCTTCAGATACGCTGTGACACGCGTCGGCGGACAGAGAAAAAAACAGCCCAATGGGCAGCGATGGGCGCACGGGGTAGGACGTCAGACATGACGCAAGCACACCGAGCTTGCCCGTCCCCATCTCCTCTCTCCGTTCCTCGATCCTTTTGCCCTTCTCCGTGTCTCCCATGTTCTCTAAGCCTGGCTGCCACACGCGATGCTCGAGCCGGTTCGACGTTCGATCGAGGAGAAGGAAGAAGAGGAGGAGGAGGAGGAGGAGGAGGAGGAGGAGGAAGAGGAGAAGGAGGAGGAGGAGCAGCAGCAGCAGCAGGCAGCGAAGGAGGAGGCGGAGGAGGAGGAGGCAAAGGACAGGGAGGAGGAGGAGGAGGAGGAGGAGGAGGAGGAGGAGGAGGAAGAGACAAAGGCTGGGGAGGTTTGGGAGGAGCGGGAGAAGGGAGGACCAGGAGAAGGAGCAGCAGGTTGAGGATTAGGACAGCTGCCGCGGCATACATTTACATTTCATCTACATTACAGCCACCCTCTTGTCTCCGCACGGTACTCTCGCTTGCGCGCAGGCCACGTCTTTAATCGGATGGGGTGTTGTCGCCTCAGCGCTGGCTACATCGTTGTTGAGAAATGGTGGTGTCGCCAGAGCGCTGGCCGCATCCATGCTTGGGAATTGTGCTCTCGCCTCAGCCCTGGCCACGTGCCCGACTGGGTACTGGGCTGACGCTCGAGCGGTGGCCACATCCCTGATCGGGAACGGTGCTCTCACTTGAGCGCTGGCCACAGGCGGGCTTTAAGAGAACACGTTTCCAGACACCCGCATGCGAAAAATGTGTTGCCGGCGTGCCGTGCCGTGCCTGCGTGCCGTGCCCGTGTGCCGCGCCTAGGTTCTAGGATGCGAAAAATGCGCCGTGCCGCGCTTGGGTTCTAGATTGCGCAAAATGTATCGTTCCGTGCCGTGCCGTGCTTTGCTTCTGCAATGCGAAAGGTGTGATTTTCCGGGGTCGCCTGCCGTGCCTTGCCGCGCTTAGGCTCTAGGATGCGAAAAATGTGCCGTGCCGTGTCGTGCCCGCGTGCCGTGCCGTGCCGTGCCGTGCCTGGGTTCTAGAACACGAAGACTGCGCCGTACCATGCCATGCCCGCGTGCCGTGTCGTGTCGTGCATGGGCTCTCGAGTGTGGAATAGGTGCCGTGCCGTGCCGTGCCCAGGTGCGAAGAACCATCCGTGCTTCGCCCGCGTGCCGTGCCGCGTCTCGCCTAAGCCTTAGAAGTCAAAAATATGCCGTGCCGTAGCCGCGCTCCGTGCAGTGCCATGCCTTGCTCGGTAGTTTGCGGCACTGGCCACCCAGACCAAGCACGCCCCCGTTCGATGGTGACTCACCATGTGTATCATCCTGCAGCGTTGTTGTGTAGGGTATATCTGCACGGTGTACTTTTCATGAGACATTGTAGCGATTCTGGCACAGGACGTCGGCACCCTTGCGGCACGGACGCGCTCCTCGGCCCCTCCTGCGGTCCGCCACGGCTAGAGGAGGGATGAAAAGCGGCACAAGCATGAGCTGTCGGAGGTCCGCGCGGATTTCTTTCAGCGGCGTTGGACTCCCTCCCTGGCGCGCGGGCGCCGCCAGGAATGGCGCCGATCAAAAAGAGATCCGCCCGGAGCTCCGAGAGTTTGTGCTCGTGCAGCTTTGCCTTCGTCGAGCGGCGGGAGGGCGGTGCAGGAGAGGGGGAGGGCGCCCATCGCAGGGCCTGCGAGCAAGCGCGTCAGGCTGCCAGGGGGTCGGCCACCAGAGCGGCGGGCTGAGTCGTAGGCTTGGCGGTCGCACCGCGCGGGACGCAGCAGCGCAGAGCGGCAAGCCTCGGCGGGGGCTCCTGGCGCACTCTTCGGGAGACCCAGACATCCAACGATGCGATGTTGTCAAGCCGGGCGTTTCGTGTCGATCTAGGCCTCAGGGGCACGTCATCGCGGCCCCGGGGCCCGCAAGAGGGGATCTGGGCGAACAATTGGCACCAGGGAAAGGGTCGGGGCCTCTGGGGCCTCGCATGTAGAAGATCCTATCGGAGTCTGTGTAGGGAGCTACAGCGGCGCTCGGCACTGGCGGCGCCCGACCGCCGCGCCGCCGACCGACCGCCGCTGCGCCGCCCCGCAGGCGGCCACCGGCCGCGGCCGCGGCCCCCGCCGCGGCGGGCGCCGACCGTCGGCCGAGTACGTCCGATGGCCCTCGCCGCGGCGCCGGCGCGCGCCGCGGCCGGCACCGCACGGAGGGCACAGCCGCGGGGGAGGGGGAAGCCTCGCCCAGACTTGCCGCGCGCGTGCTCGTGCGGAGTCGCTGCTGCCGCGCGCAGTGCCTTCTGGGGACGGGTGTCCCCGGCGGCGGCGCGGCTGAGCCCGGGCGGCCTTCTCCGCCCGCGCCTTGCGGGCGGCCCGCCGCGGTGGCCCACGTGGCCGAGCTGGAGGCGCACACCTCCTGGCGGAGGGCGACGGGGACGACGGCGCCTTCACAGAGGCGGCGCCGGCGTCGCCTTCACGGAGGCGGCGGCGGAGGCGGAGGCGCGGCGGTGGAGGCGGCGGCGGCGACGGCGAGGTGCGGCGAGCGATGCGCCGAGCGGCTCGCCGACGAGGGCCATTCGCAGAGGGTGGGGGGCAGCTCGCGGAGGAGTCGCCGTGGGTGCTCGCAGAGCAGCGGCGCTTCGAGGATGGTGGCATCGGGACGGCAACCGAGAACTAATCTGCTGGTCCGACCTTCCTCATCCTTCTCCTCCTCGTCCTCCTCCTTCTTCTCCTCCTCCTCGACCTCCTACTCCTCCTCCTCCTCCTCCTCCTCCTCCTCCTCCTCCTCCTCCTCCTCCTCCTCCGCCTCCTCCTCCTCCTCCGAGGGGGGTGGGGTGGACGAGGATGGTGGGAGGAGGGGGAGGAGGAGAAAGAGGAGGAGGAGAAGAGGGAGAAGGAGGAGGAATAAAAATAAAATGGAAAAGAAAAAGGAGCGGAGGAGGAGGAGAGGAGGAGGAGGAGGAGGAGGAGGAGGCAGGAGTGGAGGAGGATGAGGAGGAGGAGGTGGAGGAGGGGGAGAAGGGGGAGGAGAACGAGGAGGAGGTTGGAGAAGGATTGAGGAGGGAGGATGGAGGAGGGAGAGAGGAGGAGGGAGGAGGAGGAGGAGGAGGAGGAGGAGGAGGAGGAGGAGGGACGGAGGAGTAGGAGGAGGAAGACCGTTTGCTGGAAACGCGTTTCACCCCCGCACGCGAATGGGGGACGGCCTCAGCCCGCTGGCCGCGCCGCAGCCTGGCGGGCGCCTCAGCCATGATGAACCTACGATCTCGTCACGGTGCGCTCTCTTTGCGTGCGCAGAGCCGAGCAGCGATACAAATACCAGGTTTTGGGCCCGGGAGGCCCGCCTCGCCCGCAAGGCCAAACAGAAGGCGACCCAGCGGACCTTAGACGTCGAACTACTGGAGCAGAAACAGCGCATTGACAATCCGCAGGTGGTGCTGCAAGAATGGAGGAAATTGTGGAACCATCAAGAATGGCCGACTGAGGAATTGCAATACTGGCAGCAGTGGACGCATTGTGACCAGCAATGGCAGCAGTAGCATAACAAGGACCAGTTTGGGGCACAGTACTGGACGCGGGACACGTACGAAGACACCTGCCAGATTCACAGCGCGCGTGAAGCGACCACCGCAGGGTGCAGGGGCGCTGGCAGCAAAGTGCACGGCCTCAGCTACAGGCCCGCAGTAAGGCTTTCAGATAGGGACAGCAACGGCGGAAGGAGGTGCAGGCAAGCCAGGCCCGCCGGCCCGCCCCACGATCCCCTTTGCCAGGAGGGGAGCAGGGTGGATATGAGAGAAGGCAGAGGCAGTAGCAAGCAGCGGCTGCCTACAGTGCCTGTGCCTTGCGTGCGAGATGGGGCGGCAGCGGCTGTGCGAGACAGGGCGGCAGTGGCTGTGCGAGACAGGGTGGCAGTGGCTGTGCGAGAAGAGGCGGCAGCGGTTGCGCGAGAAAAGACGGCAGTGGCAGTTCAGGCAACCGGCGAGCAAGGCGGCAGCCGTAGCAACGTGTGAGAAGGGGCGACGGTGATTGGCTGCGGTAGCAGCGAAAATGGCAGGCATAAGCACGAGCCCGACGTCATCAGTTACGAGGGTTGCACAGCCAAGCACGATCCCGTTGCCATCAGCCACGACGAAGGGGCCGCGAAGCACGAGCCCGACGTCATCCGCTATAGTGTTGGGGCCGGTCCCCTCGTGCGAGAAGGAACGGCAGCGGTGCTAGAAGGGTCGGCTGTGGCAGCAGCGTCAGCAGGCAGAGGTGGCAACACGAAGTACGAGCCCGGCGTCATCACTCGCGACCGAGGGGACGCGCAGCAGGAGTTTAACGCCATCAGATACGAAGGCGGCACAGCGAAGCAAAAGCCCGATGCTATCAGCTACGATAACGGTGTCGTGACGCATGAGCCCAATGCCATCAGCTACGGGGGTGGGTCGGTTAGAGCGTGCGGCCAGCACGAGTCTGACGCCATCAACGACGAGAGTGGCACTACAACGCGCGAGCCCGATGGCACCACCTGCGAGGGTGGGAGCGCGAAGCACGAGCCCGATGCCATCGTCTACGAACGCGGCACAGCGAAGCACGAGCCTGACACGATCAGCTACGAGGACGGAGCTAAGGCGAAGCATAAACCCAATGCCATCAGCTACGACGTTAGACTGCCTAAAGCGTCCCGTCTCGAGCTGGACGCGGACGTCCTACAGGAGGCGGTCGTAAACGGTGACGCCGAGGGCGTGGCTTACTGGCTGCGGGACCTACCGGTTTGGCGTGACATGATTTTTGCTGGTATTTTCGACCAATGCCTGGCTATAACATATGCAGATTCGCTGTCGAACGTGGCCACCGAGATGTCTCACGCTTTCTCATCACCGAGATAAAAAAAGGCACAGACGACGAAGAAGGCGGTGGCAGAGAGGGGTCACGACGAGCTCGAAGACGAGGAGGAAGGCTACTTCTCGGAGGAAGACGACGAGATGACGGCAGATGAGACAGGGGAGAAGGAGGAGTGCTCAAAGACGTCGTCAGCTACGGGTGTGGGCCAGCACGTGCGAGAAGAACCAGCGGTGGCAGCGGACAGTGGGGCGACCAGTGCTGCAAAAAAAACATCAGGTACAGAGGACTGCGGCGACAACCTGCGGAGTGGGGAGAAAATGGTCTACGCGGGGAACTTCGACTACTTCGCCAATTGGCGCGAGCTCAAGGACCACGCGAAGAAGGCGGGCGCCGTGTAGCATTGCAAAGTCCACACCGAGGACGGAGCAGACTACAGTAGGTCTTTCGGGCATTGCGCGCGCATTTCTCCCCCACCGAGGAGGCCAGGAAGGCCACTGTCACCCTCGACGAGACGGAGCCCAACTACCGGAAGATCCGAGTCAGGTGGTGAGAAAGACAGTACAAGTCTGTGCCATGGGCGACCGCGGTGGCACGTGGACGCGCATCATCAGCTACAATCAGGACCAGCGCGCGAGAAAAATGTCAGAACGACGGCGGTTGCAAAGCGGGGCTCGGAGCCCTGGCGATGCGGCGGCTGTTGTGGGATTGCTTCATAGCAGTGACAGGGAGGGAGGAGGACGAAGACGAGGAGGAGGAGAAGGAGGACCAGCGCAAGCCCAAGACTCATCAACGATCTTGCAATAAGCCCTCCCTCCCAGCTTCTCAACAGGCCCCATCCACGGATTCATTTTCATCATGGGGAGTGCCCCGTTGGAAGACAACCATTTGAAGATCCGAAAGTGTGCCAGAACACCACTTGTGGAAACTCAACGCCGCGAATCACCGCTACTGTTGCGTCGTGACGATCCTGGATCGCGCAAGAAAACCGTTCCTGCCACTTGAACATCGCGGGTCTCGTGACTGTTTTTGGGGAACACTATCTTCTTCAAAGTGCGGCAACTTCTTAAGACGAGTGCGGCGCAAAGGTGAGAGCCACATTTTGAAAACGGTCCGCCCTCCATCCGCGAAGCCCAATGTTTAAACGATTGGTTGCGCGCAACGTTAGGGCGAGAACCACATCTTGAAGACAGTACGCCCTCCGTCCGTGAAACCCTTGCATGTTTTAACACGAGTGCCCGCAAGCGAAAGCCACAGATTGAACACGGGCCGCCTTCCATCCGTGAAACTCCTGCTGTATGTTATACGCATGCGCGCGGCGCTTATACAAGAGCCACATGTTGAAGACGGTCCGCATTCCATCCGCGAAATTCTTGCAGTTTGTTCATACGAATGCGCGCAGCGCTAAGGCGAGAGCCACATTCAGAAAACGGGCCGCGTTTCACCCGTGAAACTCTTACAAGTTTCAAGCGTCAGGATCAAAGATAGTGCAGACGCCTCAGGCGAAACGCTCGGCCCGCCCTTTCGACCAGCCTCGGGGTGCGACAGGGAGGGGTCTCCATAGGGAGAAGGGATGGAGGAGGGAGAAAGGAGGCGGGAGGAGGTAGGAGGGAGGAAGAGGAGGAGGAGGAGGAGGAGGAGGAGGAAGAGGAAGAGGAGTTGGAGCAGCAGCAGCAGCAGCAGGAGCAGCAGGAGCAGCAGGAGCAGGACCAGGAGGAAGAGGAGGGAGGAGGAGGAATGCGGGGACGAGGACGAGGACTGAGCAGGACGAGGTGACTGAGGACGCCGACGAGGAGGACGAGAACGAAGGGGAGGAGGACGGATGGCTCGTGGTGGCGGGGCCCCGCGAGGCGCTGCGGGGACCCGCGCCTGGGCCCACGCGCCCGCTCCCGCGCGGCGCGATGCGCAAGTGGCTCGCGCGCCTGGCGGCGGCCGCCTCTGGCGCTGGCGCCGCTGCAGCGGCCCCCTCGGGCGCGGGCGCACGAGAGCCGTCCGACGCGGAGTGGTGATCGGAGGAGGAAGAGGTTCTTTTTCCGCCTCCCCTCGTCTTCCCCCTTTCGGGGGCCCCTAGGGAGGCCCTCGTCGCCGCCGCTGGATTCGCGTCGACATCTTGGTCAGAGCGCGCCCCAGGAGAGGTCCGGGGAGTAGCGGTATCGGTAATTTGTGGCTTTCCCAGGTGGGGCCGCGGCGCCCCTGGGGCGGGGGCGCACGGGGGCAGCGCCGCGCCCTTTGCCGTGCCGGAGTTCGAGGCGGCCTCGCTCTCCCGCGCGACCTTCGACGGCCTGGTGCGCGAGGGCCGGGTCTTCGTCGTGCGCGGGGCGGGGGCTTCGCACCCGATGCGCGGCTGGGACTGCGCGTTCTTCCAGCGCGACGAGGTGTTCTCCCAGGTGGAGGCGAAGCGAGAGTACAGCTCGTCTTCTGCGGCGGGGCCCGCATGGCTCCGACTGTCTGACGTCGTGGCCAAGCCGAGCGATCTCCAGGATGAGGGCAGCGGTGCAGAAGGCCTTCCGGCCTCACCATACTATCTAGTGGCATTCGGCCCATCCCGTCACCGTGCTTGGGGCATGGACAAGAAGTTACTCAGAGGCCTCTTGAGGTCTCTTGGAACGCCTTCTTCGGGGCTCTTGGAGGCATCTTGGAGTGCTCCGGGGGACCTCTACGGGCCATCTCGGGGGCCTTTTGGGGGCCTGGAGGCGGATTCGGGGGCCATCTTGGCGCGTAGAGCCCCAGAAGCCCCTTCGAGGGGCCTCTTGGGGGCCTCGCCAGAAGCCCCTTCCAGGGGGACCTTTTGGGGACCTCCGGGTCTTCCTGGAGCTCGCTCGGGAGCTTCTTGTGCCATCATGGACGCTCGTAAGACCGAAAAGGCGAGAATGCGAAATTGAAGCAAGACATGACTCCATGTTCCTCCTCCTCCTTCTCCTCCTCCTCCTCCTCCTCCTTCTCCTCCTCCTCCTCCTCCTCCTCCTCCTCCTCCTTCTCCTTTCCTTCTCCTCATCATCATCATCAGCAGCAGCATCCTCATCCTCATCCTCATCCTCCTCCTCCTCCTCCTCCTCCTCCTCCTCCTCCTCCTCCTCTCTCCTGCTCATCATCATCATCATCATCATCATCATCATCATCATCATCATCATCATCATCATCATTATCATCATCATCATCATCATCATCACCTCCTGATTATCCTCCTCCTCCTCCTCCTCCTCCTCCTCCTCCTCCTTCCTCCTCCTCCCTCCTCCTCCCCCCCCCCTCCTCCTCCTCCTCCTCCTCCTTCCTCCTCCTCATCATCATCATCATCAGCAGCAGCAGCAGCATCCTCATCCTCATCCTCATCATCATCATCATCATCATCATCATCATCATCATCATCATCATTATCATCAACATCAACATCAACATCGTCATCATCATCATTATCATCATCCTCCTCCTGATTATTCTCCTCTCCTCCTCCTCCTCCTCCTCCCCCCTCCTCCTCATCATCATCAGCAACAGCAGCAGCATCCTCATCATCATCATCATCATCATCATCAACAACATCAACATCAACATCATCATCGTCATCATCATCATCATCATCATCATCATCATCATCATCATCATCATCATCATCATCATCATCATCATCATCTCCTCCTCCTCCTGATTTTCCTCCTCCTCCTCCTCCCCACTTCTCCCCACTCCTCCTCCTCCTCCTCCTCCTCCTCCTTCTCCTCCTCCTCCTTCTCCTCCTCCTCCTCCTCGCCATCCCACTTCTTGATTTGAGCCTCTTGGGCTGGGCCCAATGGCTTCCAAGATGACCCAAGAGAGCCCCGGGACGGTCTCTTAAAACAATCGGCGTGGGGAGCTTGGACACCCAATCAAGATCTCAAGGCATTCGGAAAAGTCACGACACAAATCCTGACAGCGTGCAGGAATGCCAGGAATCGGAATTCTGGCCACTCCGCTCAGTGCCACAGTGCTTGCGGCACGGTGGCGGATCTGGGCGTCAAGGACGCAGCGCACCAGAGCGCAGAGGAGCTGGAGGCTGACCCTTTTGCAAGCTCCACGTGGAGCAAGGAGGTCTTGAAGAGGGTGCAGCAGCACACCGTTGTCCCCGCCTTCATGGACAGCAGAAACGCTCGGCATCTCAATCGCACCCCCGAGCTCTGGTTCGTCAGAGGAGGAGCGGCCGGCGGGGGTGCCAAGGCGCATGTGGACCAGCACACGGAGTCCACGATGTCGCTGCAGTTGGCGGGCCGCAAGAGGTGGCGCGTGGCGCCCATCGCGCCGCGCGCGGCGCCGCATGTCGTGAAGCTTTATCAGGACGGGCAGATATTCGAGCGCGCGGAACGGGACACCTGGAACATTGGCGGCGCGGGCGAGAGGGGCTGGGCCGACGCGGGTACGGCCTTTCGATCAGATGCTCCCAGGCAGACCTATGAGAAGGCAGGGGGGCTTCCAAGAGGCCCCCTGGCCTTCTTGGAAAATCTCCCCCGGTTGCCCGGATGGCTCGCAGAGAGCTACGAGGATATCAGATTAGAAGCCGGCAGCGCAGGGTAGCCCCGGAGCTCGTTCCCGCTTCCGGCAGGAAGCGCCAGAAAAGGTTGCGTGAGCCGGAAATTTGTCCTGAGAGATTTTTCTACGCGTTTCCAAACACGCGTGCCTGGAAGCTCTCCAGCAGCTCCTTCGCAAGCTCCTCCCAAGAGCTGCCAGAGCTCTTTCGAGAGGCCTTTCGACGGCCTTCTGGTGCTCCGCTGTCTGGGTTTGTGGCTCCACAGGTGCCCCCCCACCCCTTCTGCGCGCGCCGCCGCACCTCCTGGAAGATGTGGTCCTCTCACCGGGCGACGCGGTTTTCTTCGGCCCAGGCTCCATCCTAGGGGGGGCGACGGTCGGGCATAGGGTTGGGAACCTTCCTCTCCATCCTCCCTCTCTCAATCCTCCTCCTCCTCTTCTTCCTCCTCCTCCTCCTCCTCCTCCTCCTCCTTCTCCTCCTCCTCCTCCTCCTCCCCCCCCTCCTCCTCCTCCTCCTCCTCCTCCTCATCATCATCATCATCATCATCAGCATCAGCATCAGCATCCGCATCAGCATCAGCATCATCATCAGCATCAGCATCAGCATCAGCATCAGCATCAGCATCAGCATCATCATCATCATCATCATCATCATCATCATCATCATCATCCCCTTCCTCCTCCTCCTCCTTCTCCTCCTACTCCTCCTTCTCCTCCTTCTCCTCCTCCTTTCCCTCCTTCTCTTCCTCCTCCTCCTCCGCCTCCGCTTTCCCCTTCTCCCCACTCCTCCTCCTCCTCCTCCTCCTCCTTCATCCTCCTCCTCCTCTCCTCCTCCTCCTCTCTTCCCTCCTCCTTCCCTCCTCCCTCCTTCCCCTCTTCCTCCTCCTCCTCCTCCTCCTCCTCCTCCTCCTTCTCCTCCTGCGGCCCGCCACGCATGCACCGCTTTCATTCATTGTGCACAACGTCGCGTCCCTGGTTCAGAGTGGCAGGGCAGTGGAGATTAGTGAAGCCTACCAGACTAAGGATATCGTCTTCCTCACAGGCACTAGGCTACGATGACGGCACACGGACGGGCAATGCACGACTATCTCATATCCTCACGCACATAGGTTGAACTGGGGATACTGAAGAGGGCCGCTTGTCTCGTCTCACACTGGCGTGCAAATACGACTTCGTCGACGGCTCTTTCGATTACGGCACATAGCACAGATTCCTTTCCCGCCCGCAGGACTACAAGGGCGCCTGGGTGCAGTCGAACTACGGTCAGGCAGCTTTCAAGTGTTGTTGATTGTTGTGCAATTTCTTGTACGACCGCATGTGGCGAAGGAAATGCTGATTTATAAATAGACGGTGGCACAGATGATCTCTTGGATGGACCAGGTATGACGTCTTCAATCCAATCGTAGCTCTGTAGTCTTTGGCGAAGATATCAATGATTATTCAGGACACCTGTTCCTAATGTGTTTCCTGCCGAACGCAATCGTGTTGGGACGCTGCGACCCCAACAGGAGCATCATTGCCGGCGCAGCTGCGAGATTTCATGGGGAAATTCAACTTGTGTCTAGCGAACACCTACATCGGAGGCCACCAAACGTTTCATGGGCGGGCTTCGGGTTCTCGGATTGATGCTCTTGGCGTCCCACGCGCGTGGTTCACTATTATGGCTGATTCCAGTAACTTGAGCAAGCGAGGTCGGCACCTTCAGATGGCACTAGGGCAGCGCAAATGGGATCACTACCCTCTTCAGGTTCGAGCACGCTATGTATTAGATTTCTCCCGTGGTGGACGCACTCCTCGCATTCAGTGGGATTTAGATACACGTGTACAAGGGGTGGTTGATGGGCTGTGGCGAGAGCAGTTTCTCCAAGAAGCTGAGGATCACTGTTGTCAACCATGGTTAAGATGGAAGCAGTACGAAGAGCTCGCTACGCCGGACGCAGCTTGGCAGAGAATGGTCAGTGAAGTTCAACAGATAGCTCTTGGATTTGTCCAACGTCATTCCGAGGAAGATCAGAATGATCGTCTCGCTCGGCAACAGCAAAAGGAACTTGTTACATGGCGAGTGGTAATACGTGAAAGTATGGGTTCTGTTGGCACAGAAGCGCAAGTGGCAGAGATTACAGACAGCACTGCATCAACAACTTGGGAGGTTGACCAAGGAGCTACATGAGGCCAAGGAGCAGTATCAATGTGCACATATTGGTAGCTTGGGAGAACAGATTCAACGAGCATGGCATAAGCATGATCATAGCTTAGTTCACAGGCGACTTGCAACTACCACCCCGGGGCCTGGCAGGCGATTCTACAACACTCCGACGATGTCGAATCCCGCGGTGGGGATGTGGACTCAGCATTTGGCGCAACCTGGGTGGCAAGGAGAACAGAGCGCGCAGCAGATACATGCAGATGATGAGCTACCCGCTGAACGACACGACAGGCATGATGGCCAGCATCTTTGGAACCCTACTTTCAAGGACGAAGCAGATCGAGATCTTCGTGGCAGTCGTTCTACGATTAAGAGGTTCGATTATCGGAAGAGTGCACCACCGTGGTCACTGCCCGCAGGGATTTGTCGAATGCCCCTCAACTCGACCACACGCGACCCGAAGTATAAGGACAAGCAGGAGGAGTTTGAGGCGCGCATCCCCGCGTTGAATTGGTTTTCTCTGCGACTCAGGGGCATATTATGGAGTATTCGGGGGGCGTCTAAAGCACCTCTGGCTTGGCACAGGTCACGGGGGGGCATGCATTCCTAAACCGAGCACGCAGACAGGATTCAAAGTTGTTAGACTTATTCACAGAGTGTGTCCGTTCAGGAAGGCCATGATGCGACACGTCAACCGACGTGGAGTTGCGACGCTTCCTGAGAGGATGTTCTTGGACTGCATGCACGGAGGCAGTCCGTTCAGGAGACGGGGAGCTGCCATTCGAGTTCAACTTATCACGAGCTGGCGCTCGGCACAGATGGGAGTCTCTCATGCTACAGATTTGCATGATCAAGCGAATGCGCCCGGCAGCACTTCGCAGCAGTCCATGGATGACAGCGGTTACCATCATTATGATATGGACGACGCGTGGCAGGGCAAGCAGAACAACCATGCCAGCTACAGCACGGTCGACGCAGCTGATGGAGTGGGCACGTGTCTCATTGGAGAAGGCGCCTTGCAGGGTCACCAGTCTGCACCCGATAAGTACAACCGAGCGTTCCAGCACAATGTTCTTGAGCCGCGGCTGGAGGCAAGGAGCACGACACCGAAAGGGCAGGATTTGATGTGCAGCCCCCCCTTTAGCGCGAACCCTGCGGACCTCTCGACGACGACGTTCATGGACGATGCGGCTCGCAAAGTCTCGGGCACTACGCCGAGAGAAGTTGCGACTCGACTTGACGAAGCTAGTAAGCAGATCGATGAGAAGTTGTGGAAATCCGGGGGCACTGAGAATCACGCGAAGCAGCAGCTTGCCCCGAGATTCGCGGGCAAAGGAGCCATCAAGAACACGAGGGCGCTCTCCGAGATGATCGAGTTGTTTTGGCGTGGCGCAGCCAGCTGCCACGCACCTTGGAGCTCAGCGTTCACGGTCATGGCAGAGCGCGCAACAGCGCGCAGTGTGTTTAAAAAGTATGAGGAAGGCTTGGTGGAGCATAGGTTGCTTGCAGTGTGTCGTCACAGATCAAGAAGCTGGTATTCCAATGCCGAGTTCAGAGTAGTGCTCTCAGCGGTCTTGAAGCGTTTGTATTGGTTGCCAGTGATTATCGTTTATTTGACGCTAATCTCTCGGGATGGGGCAGAAGCTTCTCGGGGCAAGGCAGCATTTAAGATTCCTCAGCCCGATGGGTCTTTCAAGCACCGAGCTCGTGCTCCATAGAAGCTCGGGCGCCTTCTAGGGCTCGTTCCCGCGCGACTCGAACTTCGAATTCGGAGGCTCAGGTTGTTGCGCGTACTTGCGGTGCACCGAGAAGATAATGCGCAGGTTCTAGCGGCCACGCGTGGAAAGCTCCCTGGCGAGAACCACGCAAGCCACGCTGCAGGACTTCAAGCTTGCGAGAGATGGTAGCGATGTGTATCAGGGAAACCCGCGGGCCCTCCAGGCCCAAAACGATCCCCTGACGACGGCGCACGTTGAGAATGGCCCTGCCCCCATTGCACAAGCTCGGCGACGCCCCCCTTCGAGTTTCTTCGGGGCGAGTTTCGCGCTGAGCTCGGCAAGCTGAACTTTCGTTCCCTTCGGGAAGCGCACTGGGATGATTCATTGGGGAATCTCTGCGGCCACGTGGTTCCAGAACCCGGAGAGGAGTAGCACAAGGAGGGGAAGGAGCTCAACCAGAAGATGGAGGAGGCGAAGCAGGAGGAGATCAAGCAGTTCCCGATGGACCCCCTGCAGGCCCACTAGCTCCTGCATGGGTTTGTGATGAACTCAATGAAGATGGCTCGCGCTGCGGGCTTGAATTTCAGGATCATCTAGCGCGCATATACATCTGAGGCTCACCCAAGGGGGCACGCACGGGCACCGCGCGCTGAGTAACGTGCTCACGGTCACCAACCAATGCCCCTGGTGCATGAGTGTATTATCTAATAGACCCATCGCTCGCCAGCATGTTCGTCGATTAATTCTGCACCGCAGATGTCAAGCAGATAGAAGACACTATACATACTCTATCACCGAGCCTGAGTCGCTGCGGTCAAGATCACCATAGCTTAGAGGCTCTGCAGCTTCATACGCTCACACGCGCCACTCGATCCGCCCACCCATTTCACCTTCGAGAGACCGAGCGGTTGCTGAGCAGTGGGTGGCTGGCGCTACGTCGCAAAGTCAACTCTTGGAGGCGAAGAAGCGTCTAGCGAGCTCTCAAGAGGCCTTCTCAGCTGGCGGTCACGGAAAGGATCGTCAGCAGCGGCGTCGCGGAGAGGCGCCTGCTCGAGCTCCGCGCCCAGGCGTTGCAGCAGCCTCGAGCGGCAAGGAGCCAGCAGCTTCCTTGGCCCTGGACACGGAGCGGGGCGAGGACGAGGACACCGAGGACGAGACGGCGGTCGACACACTCAAGCAGGCGATGAACGTCACGCAGCGCACGAGGGCGCTGGAGGGGTGCTTGATCAGCACGCATCTCTTGGACAAGGATTGCTTTCTCAACGCGCACGCGATAGCAGCTGCGCAGCACTACATGGGCCTCGTAGAGTCAGATCCGACAGCCGAGCTGGGCCCTCCGTCCCTCATGGTGGCCATGGCGGCGTTGACAGCGTTGACCGCGCAGCCAGCGGTGACAGAGGCGACCGGAATTCAAGCGGAAGTAGCGGGTCTCACTTCACTTGTGGAGCGGTTGCGTGGCGAGACGATGGAGATAGCAGCAGAATGCATCAAGCACTGGCGGGCGAAGTCGGCGTTCGCGAAGGAAGGAGAGGAAGTCAAAGTGCGTCATTCGTTTTACATTCATGCGTTGGTGCCAATCGGATAGCCCCTAACATGCTGATCGCGCCCGCCAATCTCCTGATCACGAAGTGCCTCGTGAAGCTGGGGCCCAAGCCGAAGCCAGGCCCGCCGCCGCGTGGGGGGCCCGAGGGGAGCTCCAGAACTCACTGCAGAAAATGCTGACGCGGGGCAAGCACAAGCGGTGGTAGGCTTGGAGGCTCGAGGCTCACTTCCTGAACTGAGGGGAAACAGTAGCAGTAGTAGCCGACCGTCAGCCTCTGTGAATACTCTAGGAACTGGGGGACTCAGGCAGTGTGTTTCTGAGCGGGGTAGAGTTCAATTTTCGGGCTCCTGGGCTCCCCCTGAAATCCATCCCAAGCGTAGGCCCCGAAAGGGCAACGGGAAAGGCCGAGGCAGAGGTCAGACTTAAGAGCTGAGGCCTCCTCTTGACTTTAAGTGTCGTTTCTCCGCCTGCCTCGGCCTTCCTGTTCCCTCTTTCCTCTTCCTCCGTGATGCTGCGTCCTCGTGTATATCCTTCCCTCTCTGTCGCTCCGTGTTGTGTGTGCGTGTGCGAGCTGAGACGTTTAACTTCTCACTCTCGGGGTCCAGTGTCACTGCGCACTATTCGGGATGATTTCGTTCGGTTTCTCGACCCTAACGGCTCCTAAGGTGTTCCCTGATTAGAAGTCTAGTCGCGACGGGAGTGCCGACCTTTCAAGTTTCGCGAGGGAAGCTGCCCTCACTATGCGCACAGCGGTCAATCGTAGTCGGATAGTCATTGCAGACTCGACCTGATGCTGAGTACCACCACCACCTCCCCCCCCCTCCTCCAGAGCCTCGCCCTGCTCTCGCCGTCCTGCCCGATCCCCACCCCCGTTCCCGGCCTCCGACGTTGCCGGCACGCCGAGGCGGCTCGGCCAGCCCAGGCGTCCATAGGGTCGGGCAGCCCGCGCGGGACGCGGAGGAGAGAGAGGGAGAGAGGACGAGGGGGTCGAACAGGAGGACGAGGAGGACGAGGAGGAGGACGAGGAGGAGGAGGGGGAGAAGGAGGAGGAGGAGGAGGAGGAGGAGGAGGAGGAGGAGGTGTTTCGAAATGTTCGGCCTCTCGGGGCCCTTCCCTGGCCTCGGGGCCGTCCAAAAAAAAACATGCCCGGGTGAGGAGGCAAGAGGAGACAATCTTGGGACACGGTCGAGAGGTCGGGGGGGAGGTTAGGTTAAGTCGGGCGTGTCCCTCTACAGGAGGAATATTCAAAAATGGTCCAACAGCAAGACGGGGACAATGTTTCGACTATGTTCGATCATTGTTGAATGCTTATCTCTTGACTATTGTTTATTTTCCTCCGAAATCCGCTTGGGGGAGATGCCGACCCAAGTTAGGTAGCCAAGAATGAGAGGTTCTATTTGATCCAAAGAGGTTCTCAGAGTATGGTTTCATGAGATGTCGTGGGATTTCGCGGGTGCTCCCGTGAGGATTTGGTGGGATTTCGTAGGGTCGCAAGGGGGATTTGGTGGGTTTAGTGGGAGCCACGGAGTCTCACTAACTGGGCGCTCGTGCGACTGCCTGAGGCTCCCAGGCCTGGCCACTTAAGGGAGGCCAGTCCCGCCCGTTGCTGTCATCCCGCGCGGCGCTGCCCGCCGCTCGCCCCCCCTGTCCGTCCACCAGACCGACGCGGTGCCCAGCGCCTGCGCGGCGTCGATAATGCCAGGGCCGACGCCGCCCCGAGGCGGACCCCCGATGCAGCGGAAGCTTGGTTGCCCTGACACGCCGGTGTTGAAACGCAATGCGCATCGTGTTCAAAGGGTCTGCGGGCCGGCTGCTGCCACGGTACCCGCTGCCTCGGCTGGCCGCACCAGCCTGCTCTACGCGGAACTCTTCCGCGTCTGAGCGCTTTCCCCTCCCCCTCCCCCTCCCCCTTCCCTCATACACGCCAGACAATTCGCCTCTCGGTTGCCCCAAATAGCCACACGCTGGAGCGGACTGCCTCTGCCTCGCCGCCGAGGAGAGAGTTCCGAGGGCCTGGGTTGAGCACGCTGCGCGCTGGCTCGGCACGTGTTGGCCCACGGCCTGGCGAGCGTGCCGCGCCGGGCCTGCGCTGCCAGGATGCGTGTTGAGCTCCGCGTCGACGCGCTGCGGGCCGCGTGCTGCGCGTCCTGGCAGCTCAGATCGGAAGAATCGCAGGGGGAGGTGTCCCGCCTTTGCGCGGTCTGGGCACGGGCCCGGGGGCCATCAAGGAGCTGCTCGGGGCGACCTGGCTGGCCTCGGGAGCAAGGGGGTCGAGAGCCGCGGGCAGGTGCTCTGGAGCCAGGCCTCCAACGCCCTGGAAGTGGGAAGGCGGAGGCAGGCTTCGGCTCCGGGGCAGTTTCTAGGCCCCCGCACCGTCTGAAGAATGATCCGGTAAGGAAGTCCAGTCCTTGAGGAAAGGTCGATAGGTTTCAGTCGGGCGTGTCCATCCGCAGGAGGAATATTCAAGAATAGTCCAAGAATAGTCTGGGGATGATTATTCGACTATGTTTGACCATTTTCGAGTATGTGTTGACTAGTTTTAACCCAAATCCGCATGTAGGAGGACATGCCCGACCTAACCATAGGTCCATGGGCCCACGTCTCGAAGAAAGTGGAACCTCTGGACATCTGGGTCAGGGCAGGGCTTGCCCAGGGCCAGGAGCCCGACCTACGTACAGTCTGGCCTCAGGCGCTCCCCGGTCGTCACCGTGACCTCGGCCCGACAGGTCTGAAAAGGTTTTGAATCTGATGTTTCTGCTCCGTTCCGAGTGTGCTTTAAGACTGCTTGAAACAGCCAGCAGTGGATATACAGAAGGCGAATCGAATAAGAAATCGGCATGCCAGCAGGTGGCCCACAGAAAATTCGTACCCCCCGATGTCCCATGGACCCACGGAAGCTTGCATCGACGGAGAATGCGCCCCCCATATTTCTGACCGCAAGATTTATTGTCGCATGCGTTTAATGTGAGAGCTGCGACGAGAGGTTGGCATCCAGTGTGTGAGGTTGGCGCCCACTCTTCCAGGGTGGGCATGTTCTGGTGATCGTTCGTTTCCTGACAGCGTCTCGCCTAAGAGCACGAACAGGGTCAAAAATAAAGATCTCTCCCAGGGGCCACTTGGCAGCGTTTCCCCCTAGACACCTTGTCTATAAGGGTTTGCGACAAACATATAAATATGTAGAGAAGCGTATATCTATGTGTCTAACAAGCTGGTAAGTGGGTCGCCAACACTCGGTGTGGCGACGTGGCCTCCCGGAGCCTCCCGTGGACTCCCCGGGCCTCCCGGATTCTGGAATCGGTGGGACTATGTGGCATCTTGTGGCCTCCCGCGTGGTATCAGTATGGTGCGTCGCCTGATTTGGAATCGGTAGAGCGACGTGGCCTCCTTTTGCCTGCCGTGACCTCCCGTGGCCTCCCATTGCTGTCCCTGTCCGTTTTCCGATCCTTATCCTTCCGCGTCTATGCCTATCCATACCACCGTGGCCCTCATCGCAAGTGTGTAAAGCATAGATATACAAATCACATTATCGATATATGTATGTATCGAACGAAACACATGCTTACAAGCATCGATATATACATATATATGTGTGTGTCTGTGCACATATATATATATACAGCTGTGCAGATATACACGCCTATATATGTGTATGTAAAGTCATGTATACACACGCATCTACATATTCATAATACATTCGTGTGTATCGTTAGTTGATTGTTTCTTTGTGTGTGCATATCTATATGTATGTATGTATGTATGGCCGTGCATAGTGACTTTCTGTCCGACGCCGTACTAAGTTGTTCCTCGGTTCGATATACTGTCGGGTTGGGATGGCTATGGCGCGCGGTCGTTTGTGAATTGCGAGGTCACAGCTACTGGGTCATGTCAGAAGGCCTCTTGGGGCCTCTTGGGCGCCGTTTGAGGTGAGGGCCTTTGAGGGACCTCTTTTAGGCCTCTTTGGGGCCTGCTGGCGGTCCTTAGGGCGGAGGGCTCGAAATCTCAATTCGAGTTCCCCCTCTCGGACCCCTCTGATGGCCCTCTTGGGCGCTTCTTGGGCCGTCTTGGGGCCCTCTTGAAGGCCTCTTGGGCCGTCTTGGGGTAATCTTGAAGGCCTCTCGGGCCGTCATGGACGCCGCGAAGGCAAAAAAATAGCAGATGCTTAACATGCACGTCTTCCAAAGGGAATGGGACGATGTTTGCCTCTGGGAGCTCTCTTGGGATGGCTCGTGAAGGCCTCTTGGGCCGTCTGAAGGCCATCTGGAGCGTCTTGGACCGATCGCTCGGCGACTCCAGGCCCTCTGGGACCGTCTGGAAGGCGTCCTGAGGCCGCCTTGGTCCTCCAGGGACGCTCGCGGTCCAGCCCAGCCGGCGCGCCCGAGATCAAAGCAGATCCGTTTTCTGTGTGTGTGTGTTAAGGTACCCACTGTAGTAGTACAGCTATGTTGTGACCTCCGGGACCCCCGCCACTGTAACTGGATTGTAGAGCGGAGGCCTCTCGCGTGCCTGTGGGGATCCCGGGGGAGGCCTCTCGGAAGCCTCTCGGAGGCAGTTTTGGGGTGGTCGGGGTGCCTCATGGGGGCTTCTTGGGGTCTGATTTGGGCCTCTCGGGGGCCTCCTGGGGTTTCTGAGAGGCCCATTGGGGACCTGCTGGCGGTCTCTGGCATCTGGGGCGGAGCGCTCGGCATGTCGCTCTGTGTTCCCGCTCTGGGGGGCCGTGTCGGGGCCGTCTTGGGCCGTCTTTGGACTCTCTTAGCCGCCTCTTGGATCGCTCTTGAGGGCCTTTTGGGCCGTCTTGGAGCGTCGGGAGCCCGAACAGGCGAGAACGCTGAAATCTGCTGAAGATGACAAGGACAATCAGCGTTGGAGCCCTCTTGGGAGCTTCCTGGAGCCCTCTTAGAGCGTCATGGGCGCCTCATGGGCCGTCTGGAGTCCATCTGGGGCGTCCTGGAGCGATCTTGGGCGACTTGGGGCGCTCGTGGACCATCTTAGGGCCCTCTTGAACCGATTTGGGCGTCCTGGCTCCGAAAAAAATCACACGGGAAGTCCGAGAAACGCCCAGAAGTGCCCGAGAGCACCCGGAATCTTGGGTTGCGATTGAGGATTGAGGATTGAGGGTTCAAAGGGCATGAGGATATTCGGAGTCGTGTTTCAGGGCACGTTGGCGGATAGGTAGATAGATTTGGATTCTCGTGCAGTGCTTAATTTGTTGAGAGACCACAGGACGAACCATCAGTGACCATCATATCGATATTGGCACGCTCGTGTGAAGTCCTACTTGTTTCGGGTCTCAGGTTGCGCCAGGCCTTCCCGACACTGGGCCAGGTCTGTGCGCGGGCAAAGATGGAGGATACAGCGACGATTCGAACGAAAAAGCCTTGCGCGCGTGCGCTGCACCGTTTCACGATGCTGGTCCTTCGGGGGCACACCCGAGTCAGTGGACAGGCTTCCGACACTTCCAGAGCTGAGCGCACACGCGTCGCGTTTTCCACAAGGAGCGATAAAGCCAACGGGTTCTGCCTGATTTGCAAGATGGATTCCCGCACCGACCCCAACATCGGGAGACGAGAGCTACACATATCGGCCGCCGCTGGCCGGACACGCGGCAGTGGATGTGCACAGAACTCGCTGCCATGCGACAGCGGGCATCCGTGTGCCTTCGGCGTTTTTTTGTTCCCCGCGCGTGTGCGCGCCCTTCCCGCGGCGTCCTGGCAGAGGGGAGGCCCTCCTCTCGGGCAGTCCACGTGCGCTCTCGGCCCCGACGTGGGGCACGCAGGACGTGGCAGTTCAACGTGCCCCTGCCCACTGGCTGGTGGCGCTCCTTCCTGCCCCGCATCCGGTTCCCCGGCAGTGAGATAGACGGCCTGCCATCTAGGAGGGCAGCTTGACCCCTCCCCCGACCCCCTGCCCTGGAATTGGACGGGGCGCCCCGCGAACGATCAGAGCGTCCAAGGAGGTCTCGGCGAGAAGGCAAGAATCACCGATGCTTCTAAGGTTTTGGACGCAGTTTGGCCTCCTGAGGGGGGGGAGCCTTGAGTACCCCCCTTCTGTGGTCGATCTCCTCCAAGATGGCCCAAACTGGCCCCCGAAGCTCCCAAGGGTGCCCCAAGATGGTCCCAGAACCCAGGGGGCCCGCCTCGGTCCTCCTGTCCCAGGGGAGCGGCGCTGGCCTCGTCGCAGCGAGGTCGGTCCAGGGGGCACCTGCAGAGGCGGCGGGGGCTACGTGCAATGAAAGGAGGAGGAGGAGGAAGGAGGAGGAGGAGGGAGCAGGAGGAGGAGGAGAAGGAAGAGGAAGAGCAGGAGGAGCAGGAGGAGCAGAAGGAGGAGGAGGAGGAGGAGCAGGAGGAGGAGGAGGAGCAGGAGGAGGAGGAGCAGGAAGAGCAGGAGGAGCAGGAGGAGCAGAAGGAGGAGGAGGAGGAGGAGGAGGAGCAGCAGCAGCAGGAGGAGGAGGAGCAGCAGGAGGAGCAGGAGGAGGAGCAGGAGGAGCAGAACCAAGAAGGAAGCACAGGAAGGCAAGAAAGGAGGACTGACGAAGTCGACGGCGGTGGAAGAGGGAAAGGGAGGGGGGGAGGGGGAGGCCGATGCAAGGTCATGTGTCCTCTGTCGGCGACAAGATCGATACAGTCGTTTTTTCACCGTTCTTGGACTCCAGAGGCCCGAGAGCGGCTTGGGGGGAAAGGGCCGAGAGCCCCCAGGTAGCCCACGTCACGAAGGAGCCGTGCTCGCGACCCTCGCGGGGGGTCGCAGCCGCACATGCGCCTCGGGCGCACGATCGCCACCAGAGTCTTCCTGGAAGCTCACTGCACGGAGCCCTGGCCCCGATTTTCCGATGGCCAAAGATGAACGACGAGGCCTTTTGAGCGGTCACTTGTGCCGCACGGCTTCTCGGATACACACTCCGAGACCATGCAACAGATCGACAAGAAAAAACGCCATGAACACAGACTTTTGGCGCTCCGCGCGGTTTTCTTGGATCGGCCCTTGGGTCCCCCCCCCGGCGGCGCCTCCGCCGCCGCCCCTGGCACGCTCCGCGCGCCAGGGAGGGGAGGTCCAGCGCGGATCCAATAAATCCGCGCAGAGCGCCAAAAGTTTATAGTTATGCCGTTCTTTCTTTTTCTAATATCGTGATTTTCGATGCGGGCCCCCGAGCTTTCGATCCCTTCCCAGGGGACGCTTTTACCTAACAGCGAAGACTGATAGGTCTCTAGTGGGCTCAAAAGAGAGCATCTTGACTCCCCAGGGGGATCTGTGCGGGTGCCGGGGAGAAGCCAGGGAACCCGGGGACTCCCTAGGACTCCTATAGATTCCTATTGTTTCCTATGGATTCCTACAGATTCTGTTCCCAGAACACCATTCCCAGGCCACATTTTGAATGCCTGGAGCCAACCGTAGGCCACTTCGTGTTCTTCGTCTTCCCAGAACACCATTCCCAGGCCACATGTTGAACGCCCGGAGCCAATTGTAGGCCACTTCGTGTTCTTCGTGTTCCCAGAACACCATTCCCAGGCCACATTTTGAACGCCCGGAGCCAACTATAGGCCATTTCGTGTTCTTCGTGCTCCCAGAACACCCTTCCTGTACCATATTTTGATTGCCCCGAGCCAACTGTGGGCAACTTCGTGATCTTCGTGTCCCCAGAACACCAGTCCTGTGCCATATGGCTGAGGCAGGCTGAGGCCGAGGCAGGCTGAGGCCGAGGCAGGCTGAGGCTGAGGCTGAGGCACGCCGAGGCAGGCTGAGGCTGAGGCTGAGGCAGGCTGAGGCTGAGGCAGGCTGAGGCTGAGGCTGACGCAGGCTGATGCCGAGGCAGGCTGAGGCTGAGGCTGAGGCAGGCTGAGGGCTGAGGCAGGCTGACGCTGAGGCTGAGGCAGGCTGAGGCTGAGGCCGAGGCAGGCTGAGGCTGAGGAGGCCGAGGCAGGCTGAGGCTGAGGCTGAAGCTGAGGCAGGCTGAGGCTGAGGCTGAGGCTGAGGCCGAGGCAGGCTGAGGCTGAGGCCGAGGCAAGCCGAGGCAGGCTGAGGCTGAGGCTGAGGCTGAGGCTGAGGCAGGCTGAGGCTGAGGCAGGCTGAGGCTGAGGCTGAGGCAGGCTGAGGCTGAGGCAGGCTGAGGCTGAGGCCGAGGCAGGCTCAGGCCGAGACAGGCTGAGGCTGAGACTGAGGCTGAGGCTGAGGATGAGGCCGAGGCAGGCCGAAGCTGAGACAAGGTGAGGCTGAATGGGGGGGGGAAGGGGGGGGAGGAGGGGAGGCTGAGGCAGGCTGAGGCCGAGGCAGGCTGAGGCCGAGGCTGAGGCTGAGGCTGAGGCTGAGGCAGGCGAGGCTGAGGCTGAGGCTGAGGCTGAGGCTGAGGCAGGCTGAGGCTGAGGCCGAGGCAGGCTGAGGCTGAGGCTGAGGCAAGCCGAGGCAGGCTGAGGCTGAGGCTGAAACTGAGGCAGGCTGAGGCATCTGTAGGAATCCATAGGAATTCCTAGGAATCCCTAGGAATCCTTGGGAATCCGTAGGCATCCTTAGGAAACCGTAGGCATAGTTAAGCATCCTCAGGAATCCTTAGGAATCCTTAGGATTCCCTAGGAATCCTTAGGAATCCCCAGGAATCCCTAGGAATCAGGATTCCTAAGGATTCCTAAGGATGCCTAAGGATGCCTTAGGAATCCTTAGGATTCCATTGGATCCTAAGGCCGTTGCCACTGTGACTGTCATTGCGAATGCGACTGCGACTGCGAGAACAGCAGAATTCTACAACTGGATTCTCACCTGAATCTTAAGGGGAATGCTTCCAGATATGCTTATACACATCGCTGTTAGGTTGCTTTGCCAGGATAATTGCGTCGTGGATCGTCCTTCCATGGCCCTGAAGCTTCTGGAGGCCGAAAATGGCGGCGACTCCCCTCTCATTACACCCAGCATCTGTCTTTGCCCGGCTACTTCCTGACGTGCATGCATCCCATTTGCCGAGGTTCACGCCAGATTTGGTGCACACGTGGCGCATCTTGGACAAGGTCCTCGACGAGGCCGAGACGGGGGGGTGTTGTTTGCCGATCGCGCGGGTCTGGGGAAAGTGGCCAGGGCCAGCCCTTCCACTCTTCCCACAGCGCTGGCCGCTTCCCCTCCAGCGTTGTCCAGCCTTGGCGACCCCATCCCATGTGTTTCGGGATCCTTCCAGGCCCTGCCATTCTTCCCGAACAGCATGTCGCCAGAGGGTTCTCACAGAGGTCAAGAGATGACCACAGAAGAGCCCCACAGGACGAGAACCCACAGTCCGGGAGCAGTCCGGCAGCCGCGTCGCCTGAGACGCCGATTACGTTTTGGGTCCCGACGGCCACGATCTGTTTCTCGTTGCTCTACGGTGTACACGACCGTGCTCTCACGCTTGTCGCTTGCCAGCCTCCTGCTCCTCGACCCGCCTCCTCACCTTTGCTGCTATGAGGGCGCCTTGCTGGGGCAATTCCAGCCCTGGCCACTGCCACGTCCTCTGAGTCTCCAAACGCAGCTCCCGTCGCCCCAGTGCTCAAGAGGGCGCTGCGGCCGTCATTTTCGAGGCTTGCGCCCGCCAGGACTGGGCCCGAGGTCGTTGTCACGAAACCATGCTTTGCTGAAGGGGGCTCTGCCCATCCCCGAAAAAAGAGCCTCGCCCCCAACTGTCCCGCACTGTCGCCGGCCCCGGTGCCGCCGAGCGCTGCCGCGGGCTCCCTTGGCCAGCCCCTCCCCCGACCGTCCCTGGGCCCTGGTGCTGCTCCGCGCTGCCGCCCACTCCGTGGCTGGTCCTGTCCCCGATTGCCTTGGCATCGCCTGGACGTGTGCACTTTTCCTTCGGCGAGGACCACTCACTTGATCATTTGGCGAAAAAACCACGCACGAAACCGAAAAAAACACAGGGAATGGACGTCCGAGCGATGGCCAGTTGCCAGCAGCCGAGGATCATTGTCCCCCCCCTTGCATCGGGGCAGAAAAAACGGCAGAAGCCCAAACTTCTGGCTCTCCGCGCGGCTTTCTTGGATCCGCGCTGGGCCCCAGTGGCGCCTCCGGCGCCGCCGCTGGCGCGCGGAGCGCGCCAGGGAGGGGAGGTCCAGTGCCGATCCAAGAAATCCGCGCGGAGCGCCAAAAGTTTATGCGTATGGCGTTTTGTCTTCCTCTGTCTGCTGCACGTGAGCACATCCTTGCCAGCTTGTGTCGCGGAGTGTTGCCGACGGCCAGCCGAAGGCCCCCGCCGCGGCCAGCCGGCCGCCCACGGCCGGCCGAAGGCCCCCCGCAGTTGGCGAGCCGGGACTGGCCAGCAGCGGCGCGGAGCCCTGCGCTGCGGCGGCGCCCGCGCGAGGCAGAGAAGACTCTCGGGCAGCTTCGGCTCTGCACCCAGACAGCTCTGGCCCTGTCCCTGTGAAGTTCCTGGCCCTGGCGCTGCCTCCCGCTCCCTCCAAACTCGCTGGCCACCCTGGTCCAATGTTTCAAGAATAGTCAACAACTAGCTTGGAGACAAGTTTTTAATTAGTTTTGACTATGTTTCAGGATTGTTTGACTATTTTTCATTTTTCGCCCAAAATCTGCCTGTACGGTGCCCCGACAAAAAGTGTCCACACCCATGGCTGGAAGGCGATGCAGCATGATAACAACCACAACTGCGAAATGCCCTTGCTTCGCACCCCTCCCCCCAAAACCCAAAGTTGAAGTGTCCACAGTTTGTCCCTGGCTTTTGGCCTACCGCCTAAACCCGTCAACTTCGAATTTTGGGGAAGGGGGGCATACATGTTGGTCCGACGCACTTTAAGAACTCAAGGTCTTGGCGAGACATGTGTGGACCCTTTTAGTCCACCCACCGTGGAATCCACCCTGTCAGGATAGTTATGCTGTTGATGCGAGCTGCTTCAAATTTTGTTTACGTCTCACACGAAGGCCCGAGCAACGCTGGGACGAGCGAGAAACATATAGCAACGCGAGGACGAGCGGCCAGGTGGATGAGGGCCTTAAGACCAGGTCGATGAGACCATGATAGGACCCGTGGCCATGCAATTCGAATCCAGGCAGCGCAATGATCACGCGTGAGGTTGACGACGGCGCGTGTGATGATGGCGGTGATGGTGGCGATGATGCGCATTCAACACACTGCAATGCGAACCGCGGACATGCAACGCAAAGCAAGGCAAAGCAAATCGGACCAAACGCGGGGCCCAAGCAACAACAACAAACAGCGACGCGCCCTGGCAGCCCCGCGGTTTCCCTTTGCATGGAGACATGCGTGGAGCTGGTACAGCTGGATAGAACTGGTCATAGAACTGGTCCGTGGAAAAATAAAGTCAGGCATCGAGCTCTCGCTTCAAAAGAAGAAGTTTTTTATCCAAATTATCCCCAACCATCCTGTGGTGTTGGGTCCTCGTTTTGAAGAGACGGTCCCCGCGTCCCTCCTCCCTCCTTCCTTCCTCCCCCTCCCCCCCCTCCTCCCTGCGTTTCACCCACCCAGTACACCGCTTCGTGGCCCCATAAAGGAGCTCGCCCCCGGAAACCCAATTTGGCATTTTCACCCACCCAGTACACCGCTTCGTGGCCCCATAGGGAGCTCCACCGAGGGTCCCCGTGGGACCGCCCGCATGCGTCCTGGAAGCCCAATTTGGCATTTTCACTCACCGAGTACAGCGCCTCGTGGCCCCATAGGGAGCTCCACCGAAGCCCTTTGTGGGACCGCCCGCATGCGTCCCGGAAACCCAATTTGGCATTTCCCCCACCCAGAACAGCGCTTCGTCGCCCCATAGGGAGCTCCACCGAAGCCCCCAGTGGAACCGCCCACCTGCGCCCCGGAAACCCCATGTGGCACTTCCCCCCACCCAGTACAGCGCTTCGTGGCCCCATAGGGAGCTCCACCGAAGCCCCGAGTGGGACCGCCCACATGCGTCCCGGAAACCCAATTTGGCATTTTCACTCACCCAGTACACCGTTTCGTGGCCCCAGCTCCACCGAAGCCCCCAGCGGGACCGGCCGCATGCGTCCCGGAAACCCGATTTGGCATTTTCACATACCCAGTACACTGCTTCGTGACCCCATAGGGAGCTCCACCGAAGCCCCCAATGGGACCGCCCGCATGCGTCCAGGAATCCCAATTTGGCATTTTCACTCACACAGCACAACGCTTCGTGGCCCCATAGGGAGCCCCGCCGAAGACCCCAGTGGGACCGCCCGCATGCGTCCAGGAAACCCAATTTGGCATTTTCACCCACCCAGTACAGCGCTTCGTGGCCCCATAGGGAGCTCCAGCGAAGCCCCCACTGCGACCGCCCGCATGCGCCCCCCACACCCAGTACAGCGTTTCGTGGCCCCGTGGGGAGCTCCCCCGACGGCCCCACTGCCAGCGCCCGCATGCGTCCCCCCCACCAAGTACAGCGCTTCGTGGCCCCATGGGGAGCGTCACCGAAGGCTCCCGTGCTGCCGCCCGCATGCGCCCCCCCCTCCCAGTACAGCGCTTCGTGGCCCCATAGGGAGCTCCACCGACGGCCCCAGTGGTACCGCCCGCATGCGCTCCCCCCACCCAGTGCAGCGATTCGGGGCTCCATAGGGAGGGAATTTCACCGAACAAGGTCTTCACAATTGCGGTACCCACAACTGCATATGGTTGGGTATTCCATGGCCACGTTCTATGACCAGTTACCAGTTTTATCCAGTTGTATCAGTTCCGCAACGAAGCAAGCTCGCATCAACGAAACAACGAAAATATGTTTACCCAGACGTGATTATGTTGTTCATGCGAGCTGCTTCAGTGTGTGTACGTCTCACACGAAGGCCCAAGCAACGCTGGGACGAGCGAGAAACATATAGCAACGCGAGGACGAGCGACCAGGTGGATATGAGGGCCCTAGGGCCAGGCGGATGAGACCATGATAGGACCCCCGGCTATGCAATTCGAATCTAGGCAGCGTATTTGTCACGCGTGAAGTTGACGACGGCGCTTGTGATGATGGCGGTGATGGTGGCGATGATGCGCACATAACACATTGCAATGCCAACCGCGGAAGTGTAACGCAAAGCAAAGCAAAGCAAATCGAACGAAACGCGGGGCCAAAGCAACAACAAGTGGTAATCAACCCTGTCAAGGTGGTTATGCTGTTGATGCGAGCTGCTTCACATGTGTGTACGTCTCACACGAAGGCCCAAGCAACGCTAGGACGAGCGAGAAGCATATAGCAACGCGAGGACGAGCGACCAAGTGGATGAGGGCTTTAAGACCAGGTGGATGAGACCATGATAGGACCCCTGGCCATGCAAGTCGAATCCAGGCAGCGCAATGGTCACGCGTGAAGTTGACGACGTCGCGAATGATGATGGTGGCGATGCTGCGCATTCAACACACATTGCAATGCCAACCGCGGACATGCAACGCAAAGCACAGCAAAGCAAATCGAACGAAACGCGGGGCCCAAGCAACAACAACAACAACAACAACAACAACAACAACAGCAGCAACAACAACAACAACAGCAACAACAATCATTTTACCCTCATGCACAATGTTCCCACACGAAGCATGTGACCATCATGATAACCATCCACAGCATGGGGGACTCTTGCTCTATAGCGGGGTCTGTCATTCCCATTCCCAGATATCCCGCCCAAATGAGGTCTTGCAAACACCTCCTCAAAGGACTTTCAACGTATCCCGACTCGAAAACACGTGCCCGCGCCTTGCTGCGCCGATGCGAGACCGCCATTGGAACCCCAGCGAAGGGTAAAGCGCAAGGAAGTATCGAACGACAGGATTGCCTTGGTGGGGATGGGAGCTGTCGGCGGGGAGGCAAGGACCTGGCCCTGAATAGAAAGGGAAGGTCTCGAGCAGGGCTGCTGTTGTTGCTGGGAGCGGCGCCAACGCTGAAGAGAGTAGGGCATTAGTCCAGCGTAAAACAAAACGAAGTCTCAAGCGGGAACGCTGGTTTTGTTGGGACGGCGGCTTTCGGCGGCGAGGAGGAACACCGCCTTCAGTAAGAAAGGAGGAAGCCTCGAGCGGGAGCCGTGGTTTTGTCTGGACGGGGGCTGTCGGCGGCGAGGAACAGCACCGTCTTCAGGAAAAAGGGAGGACATCTCGAGCGGGAGCGTTGTTCCTGCTGGGAGCGGCGCCAATTCAAAAGAGAGTAGGCGCCAGTCCAGCGTAAAACGGAAGGAAGTCTCCGGCGGGAGCGCTGGTTTTGTCGGGGCGGCGGCTTTCGGCGGCGAGGAGGAACACCGCCTTCAGTAAGAAAGGAGGAAGCCTCGAGCGGGAGCCGTGGTTTTGTCTGGACGGGGGCTGCTGTCGGCGGCGAGGAACAGCACCGTCTTCAGGAAAAAGGGAGGAAGCCTCGAGCGGGAGCATTGTTTTTGCTGGGAACGGCGCGAATTCAAGAGAGAGTTGGGCGCCAGTCCAGCGTAAAACGGAAGGAAGTCTCCGGCGGGAGCGCTGGTTTTGTCGGGGCGGCGGTTTTCGGCGGCGAGGAGGAACACCGCCTTGAGTAAGAAAGGGAGGAAGCCTCGAACAGGAGCGTTGTTTTTGCTGGGGGCGGCGCCGATGAGAGAAAGACTAGCGCGCTAGTCCAAGGTAAAACGGGAGGAAGTCTCGAGCGGGAGCGTTGGTTTTGTTAGGACGGCGGCGTTCGGCGGCGAGCCAGAACACCAGCCCTGAGGAAAAAAGGAGGAAGTGTCGAGCAGGAGCGTTGTTGTTGTTGTTGGGGGGGCCGGTTTGGGCGGTCCCCCAAACCGTTCGAGCGTGAGTTTCATTGTCAATGAAAATGTAGCCGGCGCCTCGGCGAGAGCGCCAGGGCGCCTTTAAGGGGTCCAACAATAATTGCGTAGAAATTAACAATCAACAAACAACGGCGCGCCCTGGCAGCCCCGCGGCTTCCCTTTGCGTGGAGAAGTGCGTGGGGAGCTGGTACAACTGGATAGAACTGGTCATAGAACTGGTCCGTTCAAAATAGGGTCAGGCATAGAACTGATCGTTTCAAACAAGGAAGTTTTACAGCCAAATTACTTCTTTTTAGAATTCCGACCAGTTCTATGCTGGACCCTATCTTTAATGGACACGTTCTAAGACCATATGACCATGTCTATCCAGTTGTACCAGTTCCGCAACGAAGGAAACCCACGTCAACGAAACAACGAAAGTCTTCTTACCCATACGGTGCCCGGACAAAAAGTGTCCACACCCATGGTGTGAAGGCGATGCAACATGATAACAAACACAAGTGCGAAATGCTATTGCTTCGCACCCCTCCCCCCCAAACCCAAAGGTGAAGTGTCCACAGTTTGTCACTGGCCTTTGGCCTGCCGCCTAAACCCGCCAATTTCGAATTTAGGGGAAGCGGGGTATACATGCTGGTCCGACGTACTATAAGAACCCAAGGTCTTTTGGCGAGACATGTCTGGACACTTTTAGTCCACCCACTGGGAGGAGGACATGCCCTACCTAAACCCAGCCCCTGGTGCTGACTTGCGCTGTCGCCGATTCTCTTGACTGGCTCTGTCCCTGACCATCCCCGCCCCGGGGTTCCAGCCGTCCCCTGCTGCCCAGGACCTTGGCCAGCCCTGCCCCCGACGTGTCCTTGGCCCTGCCTCTGCCGCTCGTTGCCGCCAATTTGCTGGAAAGTCCCTACAGCGTTTCCGCCGACCTTGGAAAGGGGGATCGGGAGGCTCTGGGAATTTTGAGATCTGGACGTTGCCATCTTTTGACGCCGGGGGATTGTGCCCAGTTCCTGGCCCTGGGAGGATCACAGATCGATCCGACTCGAAAAGTGGCGCAGAAAGATGGGGTCCAGGGCTCCAGTCGTGAAACACCATCCCCCTCCTCCTCCTCCTCCTTCTCCTCCTCCTCCTCCTCCTCCTCCTTCTCCTCCTCCTCCTCCTCCTGCGCTGCCATCAGTTTGCTTGACTGGCCCTGTCCAACCCCCAGCCTTCGGAGCAGATCTGCATCCAGGAGCAGCAGGAGGTACAGAAGGCGCTGCGAAGTGACGCAGGACGGCGGTGGCAGAAAGTTCGTTTCGAGAGTGCCAGCTTCATCGCTACGGGCAGCTATCCCGTTACCCCACCTTGCACTGTGCTTCGGTTTCCGCGGCCACAGGATTCTTTGGTGCCCCCTCGTCTTCTCTGCACGTGTATGTGGAGTTCTGACGAAGGGGCGGCGGCGGCAGTGGCAGTGCCGAAACGCGCCCGGAGCCCAGCAAGGCGCGAGGGTGCAAACAGGACTCGTCTGCCTGATGCTCTGGGGGGGTCCTGTGCCCAAGGGAGGCAGCACCACCGCTCAACGATGTGGTGTGTTCCAAACCTGCAGGGTGGGCCCTTTCCATTTTCCGTGCGCTTCAGTTCTGGCTCCAGCCTCAGCTGTTGGTGCACTGCGAAGCGCCTTCGGGCCAGCTCACCCGAGTCGGTTTTCCGCTCGCACGGGTGCCTCCCTCCTTCCCTCGCGCATTCGCCCGGCAGACCATCGCTCGATGGCCGCGGATGCGCCCGCGCGCCCGCCCCGGCGAGGCCGCGGTGGGCCCGGCGAGCCACCCGCTCTTCGGCGAGGGCGGCGACAGCGCCGCCTCCCGCGCCGAGCGCTCGCGGCCCGACCGCGCCGCCCTGGGGGAGTGGACTCTGTCGCCGAGCGCGCTTCACTGCTCGCAGAGTGCCTACCGGCAGAAGGTCAAAGAAAACGTCTGCCTCGATGGAATGGATCGCAGATCCTCCTCGGCGGATCCAGGCCATTTGCGAGTAGTTACTTTGCGAGTAGTGGAGCGCGCTTGCCGACTCTGGGCCTCCCAGATGAGGTCGGAGCAGATGGGGTCGGAGGGTCGCGCCACATCGCCGATGCATCGAAAAAGAAAAAACGCAATAAACGTAAACTTTTGGCGCTCCGCGCGGATTTCTTGGCTTCGCGCTTGCGGCCCCCCTGACGGCGCCTCCAGCGCCGCCCCTGGCGCGCTCCGCGCGCCAGGCAGAGTGGTCCAGTGCAGATCAAAGAAATCCGCGCGGACCGCCAAAAGTTCATGTTTATGCCATTGGTTCCCCATATCCAAAGGGTGGGATTCTTGTTCCGCATATCCAGAGGACGGGGTTATTGTTCTTTTTCCGACCGCTCCGAGCTCACATCCTCCACTTCCTCATGTTATGTGATGTTGTGATATGTTATATGGTGCTACGGTATGGTATGGCATGGTATGGTATGACATGTCATGATATGGTATGGTATGTCATGATATGCTATGATATGGTATGACATGTTATGATATGGTATGTCATGTGTGTTATGTGATGGTAAGTTATGATCTGGTATGTTATGATATGGAATGGAGTGGTATGCTACGGCATATTAGGTTATGGTACGTTCTGATGCAATGATGATAATGATGATGATGATGATGATGATGACGATGATGACGATGATGATGATGATGATGATGATGACGATGACGATGATGATGATGAATATGATGATGAATATTATGATGGTGGCGGTGATGATGATGTTGATGATGATGGTGATGATGATGGTGATGGTGATGGTGCTGGTGATGGTGATGGTGATGGTGATGGTGATGGTGATGGTGATGGTGATGGTGATGGTGATGGTGATGGTGATGGTGATGGTGATGGTGATGATGGCGGAGCAAATTCTGGGGATGTCTCGAGCGAGGCGCGGGGTTCTGCACCCCCAAGGGGGAGCCGCCAGAGGGTATCTCACTCCTCTGTTCGCGCCAAAATGGCGGGGCTGTCTCGAGCGGTTCCCCTGTTTCGCGACTCAACATTCTCCGTTTTCGGAGCTGATTTGGAGGATTTCTCGAGCGAGGCGCTCACTCTCGCCCCCAAGTGGGGCCAGAATTTGAGAATGTCTCGATCGGTTCGCTTGTTTTGTGGCCAGACTCGTGGGCACGGATCCTCCACAGGATGTCACAGGAGGCTCCAGCAGGTTCGAGGAGGCCCCAGGAGGCCACAGGAGATCCCAGAAGGCATCAGGCGGCCACATGAAGGCTCAAGAGGCCACAGGATGCCCCAGAGGCTCCAGGAGGCCCCAGGAAGCTCCAGGAGGCTTCAGGAGGCTCCAGGATGCTCTAGGTGGCCACAGGAGGTTGCAGGAGGCATCAGGAGGCCACGGGAAGATTCTAGAGGCCACAGGATGCCCCAAGAGGCTCCAGGCAGCCCCAGGAAGCTGCAGGAGGCCTCAGGAGACTCCAGCATGCTCAAGGAGGTCACAGGAAGCCACAGGTGGCCCCAGGAGGCCACAGGAAGCGCCAGGAGGCATCAGGAGGCCCCGGAAGGCAGCAGGAGGCCTCAAGAGGCCCCAGGATCAGGAGGCCTCAGAAGGCCACAGGAGTGGCTTGAATTCCATGTGTGATTGGGCCTCCCCTGGGGCACGAGTCCTTGGTGTTTTACGTGTGTTCCCTATCGATTGCCCTTCTCCTGTGGCTCCAATATGTAGTGTTTTATGTCAAAGTGAGGGGGCCCAACGCTCATTCATTGTCCCTGGGTGCGTGGCTGAAGTGAGAATCCGTGGTGAGGATTCTGCTTGTTGCGTTGTTGTTGTTGAATGTTAATTACTAAACAATGATTACTGTTGGACCCCCCCAGGCGCCCTGGCGCTCTCGCCTCGGCGCCTGCTACATTTTCATCGAAAATGAGGCTTACGTTCGAGCGGCTTGGGGGAGCGCCAAAACCGGCCCCCCGACAATCACAGCGCTTCCTCTCGAGACTTCCTCTTCTACTCAGGGCCGGTGCCCTTGCTCGCCGCCGCAAGCCGCCGTCCCAATAAAACCAGCGCTCCCGCTCGAGACTTCCTCCCGTTTTGCCTTCGACTGGCGCGCTAATTATTCTTTCTCTCATCGGCGCCGCCCCCAGCATCAACAACGCTCTTGCTCGAGGGTTCCCCCCTTTTTAACTCAAGGCGGTGCTCCTCCTCGCCGCCAACCACCGTCAAAACCAGTGCTCCCGCCCGAGACTTCCTCCCGGACTGGCGCCCTACTCGCATTTGAATTGGCGCCGCCCCCAGCGAGAACAACGCTCCCGCTCGAGACTCCCTTTTTTTTCCTCAGGACTGTTCCTCGCCGCCGACAGCCCCCGTCCCGACAAAACCATGGTTCCCGCTCGAGGCTTCCTCACTTTTTTGCTCAAGGCGGTGCTCCTCCCCGCCGCCGAAAACCGCCGTCCCGAGAAAACCAGTGCTCCCGCCCGAGACTTCCTCACGTTTTACCTTGGACTGGCGCCCTACTCTCATTTGAGTTGGCGCCGCTCCCAGCAAGAACAACGCTCCCGCTCGAGACTCCCTTTTTTTTCCTCAGCACTGTTCCTCGCCGCCGACAGCCCCCGTCCCGACAAAACCATGGTTCCCACTCGAGGCTTCCTCCCTTTTTAACTCAAGGTGGTGCTCCTCCTCGCCGCCGAAAACCGCCGTCCCGAGAAAACCATTGCTCCCGCCCGAGACTTCCTGCCGTACCTGGACTAGCGCCATACTCTCTTCAGCATTGGCGCCGCTCCCAGCAACAACAACGGCCCTGCTCGAGACTTCATTCCTTTCTACTTCCGCAGGCCGAAAGATTTTCCTTTTGAGCCCCGCATGTCGGAAGCGACGCGCCGTTCAGGTGAGCGGATACATGTAGCGCTCGCTTCGAGGTGGGGTAGATGTGTTATGGGTGAAGATGCGGGAGTTGGCCGGGCCCGCTGTGGCGTTCGAGCAAACTTCTGTTATGGGAAGATTTTCGGGAGATGGCCAGGCCCGCGGCGGCGCTCGAGCAACCACATGTTGTGGGAGAAGTGAAGGGAGGTGGCCGGGCCCGCTGTGGCGCTCGAGCATCCGACTTGGACACTTTGCTTGTGTGTCCTCGCCCTCCTTCATCCCTTCCTATCCTCCTCCTCCCACTTCCCCCCTCCTCCTCCCGCCTCCTCCCTCCTCCTCCTTCCTCCTTCGTCCGTCCGCCTCCCTCCTCTCCCCTCTCTCCTCCATCATCCCCCTTCTCGTCCTCCTTCTCCTCTTCCTTCCTCCTCTTCCTTCCTCCTCCCCCCCTCTCTTCCCTGATTGTTCCGCCTCTCTCCCCCCTGCGTCCCCTCTGTTCTCCTCCCACCTCCTCTTGCCTTTTTCCCTCATCCTTCCCCTCTTCATTCTGGGAAGACCCCCTCTCCCCCGTAGAATCATAGCATGGTTCTTCAGATCCACAGCTCCGTGGATACTGGGGATGCAGCATGATGCTTCACTTGCGGTGCTCCGCGGATCCAATTTCCCCTGGGTCCCGGATGTTAGCTATTATTATTATATATTGATTCCCGGGAAATAAATGGATCCATCGCTTTTTTCACACACAGGAAATTGGATCCGCGCAACACAGAAATAGGATCCACGAAACTCCCACACCCGAAAAGGGATCCAATTGGATCCGTTGATGTTTTCATATTTCTAGTCCAAGAGGAAAAAACGTTCGGCCTGGGGATGTATTGATGACGATGGTGATGATGATACTGATAATGATAATGATGATGATGATGATGATGATGATGATGATGATGATGATGATGATGATGATGATGATGATGATGATGAAGATGAAGATGAAGATGAAGATGAAGATGCTGATGGTGGAGCTAATTATGAAAATGTCTCGAGCGAGGCGCGGGTTTCAGCACCCCCAAGGGGGAGCCGACGGGAGGTATCTTACTCCTTCGTTCGCCCCGAATGTCGGGGATGGCTCGAGCGGTTTTCTTGTTTCACCACCCGACATCCGCCGCGGTCGGAGGAGATGTTGAAGATGTGTCGAGCGAGGCGCTAGTTTTCGCACCTCCAAGGGGAGCCGCCAGAGGGTATCTCACCCCTCTGGCCGCGCCCAGATTGAGGTGATGTCTCGAGTGGCTTGCCTGTTTCACCACTCGACATCCTCCGCTTTCGTAGATTTTGAGGATGTCCCGACCGAGGCGCTGGTTCTCGCACCCCTGATTGCCCAGGTTGTGAGGATGTCTCGAACGGTTTGCTTGTTTTGCTGGCCAGACTCGTGGGCACGGAGCCTCCTCAGGATACCACAGGAGGCTCCAGCAGGCCACAGGAGGCCACAGGAGGCCACAGGAGGTCCCAGGAGGCTCCAGGAGGCCCCAGGAGGTCACAGGAAGCGACAGGAGGCACAAGGAGGCCCCGGAAGGCCCCAGGAGCCCCCACGAGGCCCCAGGAGCAGGAGGCCTCAGAAGGCCACAGGACTGGCTCCAATCTCCGGTGTTTTACATATGTTCCTATGTATTGGGCCTCCCTTGTAGTACGAAACTTTTGTGTTTCATTTATTTTTCTACAGATTGTCTTTCTCTTGCGTATCCATTCCTGACTGCTTTACGTATGTTTCTATAGATTGGGCCTCCCTTGGGGCACGAGTCCTTGGTGTTTTACGCGCGTTCCTATAGATAGCCCCTCTCCTGCGGCTCCAATCCGACGTGTTGCACGTCTGTTCCTATAGATTGGGCCTCCCTTGGGGTGCGAATCCTCCCCATGAGGCCCCGGGAGGCTCCAGGAGGTCCTTGGAGGCCCAGGAGGCCACACGAGGCCACAGGAGGCTTCAGAAGGCCACAGGAAGCCCCAAGAGACCGCAGGAGGCCCCAA